TGTTCTCGACGTGAAAGGCCATAGTTCAAGAATGGTATGGAAAGAAACGCAAGTGCTTGTTTATTGTTTGAAATGTGAATAATCATACAGATAAATCTGGCAATTGTTTGCGATCCACTGAAACTCATCGCACCGTCGAATGCTCGGAAAATGGTAAAGTTGACACGATCACGTCATAATTCTTTCTTTTTTATCGTCGCTTTCTGCGATAGGGAAAGACATTTTTTGTGTGTGTACGCACCTTTTGTGGAAGACAATCAAAAGCGAACACAAACAATGTGGAATTTTTGAGCCTGAACTGAAATCAGGTTTTAAAAAATCACAGAGAGTTTAAATTTAGATAGAGCCGTTCTTTTTGTGTTCGTCGTCGTTGTTCAAGCAGCGCCAAACCTGAAGTGCTTTTGCTCACAAAAACACAACAACCATGATTTTTATGTGTTTGATAGAAGCAATAAAAACACACAATTTACATAATTTCGGCGTGCTTTCGCGACAACTTGTTCGAGGAAACAAACGCAAACCAAAAATTGATACAAATCCAAAAATACAAGCGATCGATGTTTTTATTCTTTGTGCTATTCTTATTTGTACGTAAACATTGGCATGCAACGAAAAGTAAAGTATCTCTGTGTTGGATCTTTTACGGAGTAATAGAAAACGCGGAATTGAGATCGGGTCGATGTCACCTGGTCCGAAATGCAGAAAATGGACTCTTTTCTTGTAATGTCGATCTAGTTCTTGAGGTTGATCGGTTCAATTAAGTGAGTCGACTGGTTCGTTCGTTCGTTCGTTCGATGGACAATTTGACAGACCACCTCTGGTTGTGGCTCATTCCCAAGCTGTGCCTGCTGCCACTTCTTGTAATATAACTTTTTTTCCCTCTGAATTTATGGCGCCCATTACTTGCGCGCAATCAGACAGTGCCAAATGAGTAGTCGGCAACTGATTCTGATCACAACAGTTTTCGGTTCCTGATCACAAATTCTTGTGGGTATTTTGGTTTTCTGTTGCTGCCACAACAAAATATAAATTCATTTCGACGCGATAATGACTATCTGACGTTCGGCAACGGTTTTTCTTCTTCTTACTCTTGACGTTTGGCAACGTATCGCGTGTCTTCTAGCATTTTTTTTTTCACTTCAACACTTCGGAACGTGTTTGCGATATGTTGTGTGTGTATTTTTTTCTGGCTGTTTCCAACATTATTTTGCCATTGTTCTGTGCGATTCCAGCCACTGCAATTATGTCTAGTTTCTTCGGTTGAATCGCGCATAAAAGGGAAACTTCAATCCATCAACAATAGACCGAAAACAAAGAAACCAACAAACATAGCGAAAAGAAAAACGAAAAATGACCACTTTGAACATATCAAAAGTCTGCAATCCAAAGCTAAACACCTGGAATTGATAGTGTAACTAGTTAATTTGACACTCATATGGAAAAGAATCGATAATTATTTATTGAAATTCATTTTTAATGCAGTTGTGCATTCTACACAGACTCTGTGTGTCAAAGCGGTTCTTCAATATACGAGACATAGTGCGATTACTTTCTTCTTCGGTAGATCGATCCTTAATTGATTTCGCTTAAAATAATTTTTCTTTCTTATTTACGTGTTGAGTCAACAACTGTTGACCAAGAATGATTTTCAGCCGTTGGGCCAATTGGCTTGGGCTTTTTTACAAATGCAACTCTTTTTCAGCCTTTTCAAGCTATAGTCAAAATGGGCTGGAGGAGAGCCGAAGCACATAAAAGGATCTTTTTCTTCTATTTTAACTTTTTTTTTCAGGTCTTTTACGCCTTTGATAAAATCTTCAATTCTTCATTTAATGGACTTAATTAATTGCTTCAAGATTAAAATAGGCTTCACCATTTGCTCATTTTCTGAAGGCGTTAATATTTTAACCTTATCAAACTTTTATTTATAACATGATCAATGACTCTGTTTAGATTACTACTTGGCTTCGCCTTAAGCTTGAACTATGAAAACGGATTATGCTCTTTCGCTACGAAAATGGTCATCGCTTGGGTATCTTAACTTGATTTATGCTTTGCATTTAATTCGTGTGTTTTTTTTTAAATTCCTTTATTGGCCTTTGGTTTTTCGCTGCTGAATTTTAGAAATATGCTGAATATAAAACGTGGTACCGCGGCCGATAACAAGATGTTTGTGAGTAAAAGTTGTCTGGCCTCGGTGATCATTTATTGGGTGTGTTATTGAATGCAGTTTTATTTTTCTTCTTCTGCTATTTTTAAAATCAATGGCAATTTCAGCATAGTCAATTCTGTTCGAATGCGTGAGTGCACTTGAATTTTGGCAATTGGCTGCTGTGACAAATGTTCATCATTGACAGAACTTGCCATAAAACAGCTGTGGCATCTCATTAAAACGCGCTTTTTTCTTTCACATGCTTCCACTCTCTCACACGTCACACTAAAAAAAAGAGGGAAGATCTCGCATGAACAATATTTCCAGAAGAAGAAAAAAACGAAGCAAGCACATAAACATGCAGCAAGCACATTAAGAACGATGACGCAGAGCGTTCACGCTCATCATGATTTCAAAAATTGTGCACGCATATTAACAACGAGTAGAATTTTCAGCGAACCAGTTTCGTTTGAAAGTCGTTCGGTATGATGAAATAGTCGAACTTATGGAAAAGAAGTAGCAGCAACATTGAAAAATTATTTTAAAGAGAATCCAACGCGTGTACTGTTTCGTAGAAAACGAATTGCTATCGATAAAGCAACGAAGCGAAACACGACGCACACACGATATGTTTTCGTTGTTTTTTTTTATTCACAATTGATGATTGTTGGCGGAGAGATCAGTATTTGTTGTTGTTGTTTAATTATGGAATGAAACCAATGATGACGATAACACGCAAAATGGGACTTTGTACGAATACCTGCGCTGCACTTTGAGAATGAGGCGAACGAGCATTCAATGCTTTTTTTCTCTTTCATTTGGTTTTGTTTCATTAATTAAAACCGATCATCGTGCGCGCACTCACACGGTATGTACAAGTACTTGGAAAATGTGCCTTTGTTCAATTTTTCATTCGTTCATATTCCAGCATAATGGCACACTATCAGTGTCAAGTATCATTTCGATTTGGGTCAGTTGGCAGCGTTTATTTCATTTTTTTTCTATTCAATCTCTCACTCTCACATTTTCCGCTCACAGCTGTTTCACATCGAAACGAATTTGGACCGAAACAAAGGAGATTTTACGCCTTTTTGTGATGACCAAATGAAATGGAGAGTTGTTTAGTGTTTTTGCTCAAGTTTTTGTTTTTCGGGTTTGGGTTTAGGTTGATTAGAATGAGGTGATTTGAATAAATCATGTTTTCTTTGCCGTGGCATTAAGTGTGCCAAGTGATAATCTCTTTTCGCATTACATGCATAGCCATGTTTTGGCGGTAATTTTCCATAATTGCTCGTATTACACAATGCGAATGAACGGACGAAGAATTTTTTTTCATTTTGGCTGATTCTTATAATTCGCTAAATCACGAATTTACCGAGTTTAGTATATTTTGATTTCGAAACGCTATACTGTTGATCGCCGGTTGTACATATAAGTCGGTCGTGACTTGTGCTTCCGCTCTAAGAGGCGATGGTGAAAGAAAATCATATGCTGGTCAGCTGTCTCAGTATTGCTTGCAATATTGGGATGGCAAATACCAATTCTCTAGTTCTTGGGTTCGGTCGAGACTAGATTTAGAATTGGTAATTTTGCATTTTTCATCTCAATATCGTTTCGAATTCGCTCGCGTTTGCGTTTTTTACATAATTTCTGAGCAAGAACCAGATTCTTTCCATTCGAATAAAGAATATAAACTAGTAATCGAATAATGATTGAACTGGTCGAGTTAAAATGTGGTTTTACGTCATATACAAAAAAGAAACACAGCTCATAAATTATGCTCGCATATCATATTTAAAATGCCGAAATGACGTGAATAATTCGAAACCGCCTAGCACTGTATATATATATATATATATAGATTCAAACGTAATGCGAACCGAAAAATCTGTGAAAACAAAATGACGAACAGTGTTCGCAGAACACGTACAAATGATAGCACAAAATTGATATGGAATTAAGAACAAAGAATAGTCGTAAAAATCGGTTCTAATCAGTCTGTCCACGGAACGAATGCCAAATTTTGTTAAATTTATTTAAAACTAATGTCTTTTTCTGTTAAACGAGTCTAAAAAAAGTGGCAACAAGATTTGATTTAGAAGAGAATAGCAAAAGGAAAATTAGAAAAAATCAGTCATCTGATCCATCAATCGAAAAGATTGTAAATGTCTAGTCTTCGGAGTGGTTTCGCTCAATAGATCTTGATTTGTTGAATTGCAGATTTTCAACCGTTCGACAGTTATGATTTGGAGTGGTAATGCTAAGAATAGCAAAAAAAACATACCTAAAAGTTGCCTGAACTTTTTTTTTTAGCTAGTCACGAAATCCGATATGAACAGTTGGTAATAGGAGGAGTTTGAGAATGGTTTCTATCTAATCGTTCAGCGAATCGGTTTTGGATGAAAAATGATAAACAATTACAAACAGTGAATTGAATGGGAATAAAACAAGTTTATGATTCGATCCGATCCTAATCACAACAGCACTCAAACAGTGCTTCAACGTTCAACACACCTCGATGTATTGAGCCAGTGTTGTCGTTGTCGAGCAATGACGTCGATGCCAAAAATACCAAATCGAAATCTTAATCGAAACGATTAACAAGCCGCAAAAAAAACTGTCAATTATCAACGAAACACTAAAAACTATCAACAACAATACAATAATAACGTGCCAGTTTTTATGGATATATGCTGTGGTTGTCAGCACGAAATACCGCTATGTAAACAGCTGATGATTTATTGGGTCGAGTCCAAAAGTGTTGGGTGTCACATGAAATGGTTCAAATGCAAACCGTGGAAGAAATGTGTGTGTTCATTGATCTCAAGAGACAATTTCGACTACGATTTACCTTATTTGGAGAGAGTGTCCCACGCACCGGATCTATTTCGATGCCAATGTCCAATATCACTATTTATGTCGATTTTTATTTGCTTTTTTCTCTATATTGGTCATTGACTTCGGAACGTCTATTTTTTGTTGTTGCAAAATTGCGACTGCAACTCACTATTTGTTTACCAACAAAATCTCTCCACTGAACTGAACTGTGCAATAGCAAAGTTTTTTTTTTTCGTCTATGTATTAGTCTTAAATGGTTAGAAACTAGCACGTATTTTTCAATGTGCCCACTTCAACGGTTCTATTTACTATTCGCATAATTGGATAAACGAGTAATAAATTTGTTGTTGACTTTTTTCTATCTCTTTTTTGTCTTCACTTGTATTATTGATATTACTTGCGTTTTTTTTTCGTTCTTCTCAATATGGAAATGACATAATTGAATTTGCAATATTCCAAAAATTGAAAATGAAAAAAAAAATACTACTTCGATAAAGCAAAAAAAAAAGATTCGAAACGTAAACCATTGATTAACAACCACAATAACACAAGCACTGCGGATAGTGTTATAAATTGGCAACTCGTGCGCGGCTGCTGTAAATTACACAGCACAAATAGAAAAAATAATAACGTAGGAACAAATCGAAGAGAGAAGTTCAGGAAGTCATGTGTTGTACACGAATCAATTCGATCTGATCGACTGTTGAGCGTTTTCACATTCTAATCAAGTGAGCAATAGAGGCTGGCTGGTTGCTGATCGAAGTAGAGCCAATTATTGACGTCGATCTCACAAACTATGCACCAAATCCATTCGATTTCCATTGAAAATTGACAAAGAGGAAGAGGAGAGAGAAAAAAATATTGGTTTTTTCTCATAATTAAAAACCGTTTCCTTCACAATCTGACATTGCACTTCACTGCTCTGTTTGTTTTGTTTTTTTCTGTCGCGGCATTTTTCTTCATCTATTTGCATCATGACAGAGATTTACCTTCAATTTGGATGCCAAGGGGCGATCAATATGCATATCTGGCTTTAATCAAATCATTTATACAAAGTTTTTGTTTTCCTCTCCGGCCTTAATTCGGCGTCCGGTGACCGACAAAAATGCAGATATTGTTTACGATTCATATATTTTAATTATTTCAATGACCGTCGAAAAAAAGAGAAAAATTTGTGCGCATCTCATTTCCATAATTTGTATTTTGTTTCCTTCTCTCGATTGATTTTTTCTGTTTCGAAGAGATTCTATTTTCGGTGGCGAAGGTTTAAACCTCATATGGTCTGTCTATTTTGTATGAATCGCTTTTCATTGAGATTTCGAGATGAGATGCTTTTCTTTTATTTTATCAAGGTAGGTTGAAATAAATGACAATCGAAACAAGAAACTTCTTTTTTTCGTCGTTCAGACACACAAGACTTTTTTGAGTTTGTTTTAAAAAAAAAACATTAATTTTCTTTTTGATTTTCACAAAAAAAATGTTTCTTCTCTCGGGTATAGAGTCACCACAATGTGTTTCAGTAATGAGTAAGAGAGTGCGACACATGTTTATCTTTCCCTCTCCCTTCGATACTTGACTTTCATTCCGCCACAATGGATTTTGATCTCATAAAAAAAAAACCAGAAACCAGCTCACACACTACTCACTTGAAACGTATAAATCATGAGAAAGTCCTAACATAAAACGCACAGTAATATCAACAACTTAAAATTTATGATTGATTTTTCTCTACGCTCTTAACAACTAAATTGATTTATGACAATAGAAAAAAAACAAACAAACAACATACGCAATTTCAATTCACACCGAATGAAAACAAAAATCGAAGTGGAAAAAATAAATAAAAATCAAATCGTTCGGAGAGTCACTTGTACGCGCGCGATCACTCAAAGTGAACGAGCCTCGAACGCGAACACACGAAATCGATGCGAAAAACAATGACGATTGACTGGTTGGAACAACAGCAGCAGCAGCAGAAAAAAAAGCGAACGAACAAATTCAGTCCGGGCCCGTTCATGTGCAATGTATGTATGAAAATACGGCAATCGCAGGCGAACGACGAGCGAATTCCATGTGTGGCAGCAGTGAGTGCCGTGCGAATCATTTTTTTCAAAATTGCGTCGAATGCGTGTGTGTGTGTGTGTGTATGCAATGCCGTATGTTATGCTACACACATACACACAACACATATATACCAATGCCCACTGGGGCCGTTCGTGCAGCCTATTATGATTCAGCTTCGCGAATATGAAACCGACATATAAACAAAAGTTACACACAACTAAGCCGACGGAAATCTCTCTTTCTCACACTCCATCCCCCCCGTCTGTGTTTCGTTTTTTTTTCTTCGGAAAGCGAAGAGAAGCAGGAAAAAACGCTTTTCTGTCCTCATGAATTCGTGGAAATGACTTCAACCGAACGGTTACTTCAGACATTTTTACAGAAAAATGCAAATAAACCAGATCGACACCATTTCAATTAGCAAACGGAAGAACAAAGTGATTGAGATTCAATCAGAACCCAAACAAAATAAAGTACACGTAATTGTTGATGCAATGTCAATTACTTTCATTATTTCTGAGAAATTTGATCGAACATTGTCGTGCAATTCGTCATTAAAACACCATCGTAATTATTCACTTACCGCAAGTAATCAATTCACATTTTAACAATTGAATCACTCCAACAAAAAAAAAATCTCTCGAACGTTTTTTCTTTATCGCGACGGTATTCTGCTGGTGTTTTTTTATTTGTTTGTTTTGTTCGTGTTTTACTTAAAGTTGGCGCTGTGTCATGAAGTGACAGCCCAAGTAAAGTGTCAATGTGGCGCTGTAATCGGCGGTTTTTCAACGCAACTGACAACATTTGTCAAGCGGATACATCGACTGACACGTCATTTTATGTTATTTCATCCGTCGTGAATTTATTGAATTGAAAAATTTGTTTTGACGCGGCGATCGAATTTATTTCATCTACAATTTGTGAATTAAAACGAAGCGAATAGTATTTCATTCCAAGTGAACAGAGTTCAAAGTACACAAAATTAAGATGTCACGTCAAAACAACTCAAACGGAGGACAAAACAACAACGAAGTCGATGAATTGTTCGAAGTGAAAACGTACTTTTACATTGGAGCCTATCAACAATGTCTCAATGAAATTAATAAATTGCGGGTGAGTACAGACGCACATGATTATCATCATAATAGATGTGTGCTTCATATGAAAAGTGGCTGTAAATATGTTCTATTCCGAGAAATTCCGTGCTAATTGTCCAATTTTGATTCAATTTTATCGATAAACGTCCAATGTTTTTGTTACAGGGTGGAAGCAGCTTGAAAAAGGATTGCTTCATGTATCGTGCATACATTGCTCAGCACAAGTATCGTGTCGTTTTGGATGGTATCTCGGAAGCACCATCAACACCAGCCGGTTTGAAGGCCATTCGCAAAGTTGCCGAATATTTCAATTCAATAGGTAGATCTGAAATTTTGTCAATTTGTCGTTTGTTGTTCATTTGCATTCAGTCGAATCAACACTAAATCACTTCTCCCCATTTCCACCGCATAGATTCAGCCGATAAACGAGGTGCGATTGTGAAATACTTCGATGAAAATCGATCGAGTGTGGTGGTTGAAGACGAAAATGCCGATGAGGACACCGTTTACTCATCGATAGTCTGGGCATTGTCAGCTGCTTCAGTCTACTATAACGAGCAATTGTACGAGAATGCTCTGAGTTTGGTGCACACGGCCATTAAAATTTCACCCGATTTGGAGTGTTTGGCCACACAATTGCAGTGCCACTTGAAAATCAATCGTTTAGATCTTGCCAAAGGTACGCTATCGAAGATGCAAGAAAAAGACGATGATGCCACGTTAACGCAATTGGCCACCGCTTGGATTCATATCGAACAAGGCGGTGAAAAGCTGCAAGATGCTTATTATATCTTCCAAGATTTTTGTGATAAATTCGTACCGACCAGTTTGCTATTGAATGGTCAAGCCGTTTGCTTTATTGCCCAGGAGAAATATGAAGAAGCTGATGCTGCGTTGCGCAACAGTCTTGACAAAGATCCAAACGATCTCGACACATTCATCAATTTAATCGCATTGGCTCAGCATTACAATGTGTCCGGCAAGCCACAAGAGGACGTCATCAATCGGTATTTATCGCAAATCAAGGATTTACATCCACACTGTCAACTGGTCGTCGATTTAGACCGGAAGGAGCAAGAATTCCAACGATTGTGCGCACGATATGCACCAACCAATCAAGCTTAGATCTATTACAGAATTAAAAGTGAAATATCCGTTTGTTACAGCATTTCGTCTACATAACCATTAGATTTAAAATAAATGCAGAGAAAAGTATTTTCAAAACTGAAAAATATGGAGCGTTCTTTCGTTTAATAAAACATATATGAAATTTGAGATGAAAGAGGTAAAGAAAGATGTATCGAAAATGCATGTCGAAAGAAACGCGCTGATCATGCTTGGGTCCATTTACATAGTTTTAGGTATGTATTCATGTATATCAGTAGATTGTATTGCTGGCAACATGGTGTGACAACCACCACTGACCACACCAATTTTGTATACTAACCGCTGATTTCCAATAGCAGGATGTTGGTAGTTCATTGCAAACGAAAAACTCACACACAACTATGCTTTTAAACTAAGACATTGGAAAAAAATATACATTGTATATGATTGGCTAATTCGAAAGCGTTCGTTCAAATCAAACCGAATTGAGATCATTCTTGTATTGTCATTTAATCGATCAAGTTAAGTTCTTTTGCAAAGAGGAAGAATTAGAAATAAAATAGTTTGGAATATACAGCATTTTTTATTGAGTAAAGTGGTGAAATGTTTCCGGAATATGCAAAAAAGATGCTCATTTTGAGCATTCTTCATAAGTACGAGTATTTTGAGGGTCACCGATGCGGTATGTCATTCACAGATCTTTGCGGTAATTGAATGTTCGAGTGAATTTGTGAATCATATTTCGTGCGCTAAAGTGTCTCCATTTTCATTTACGGAATATGAGAAATGTTTCCATTTTCATTTACGGAATATGTGGAATGTTTTTATTCACATTCATGTTTATGGAGAAAGTTTCAACGAATTTCTGTTGCATATCTTTGTATATACCCTCATCAATTATTTTCGATTGTCCTGATTAACAGAAAAATTCGAGCAAATGACAAAAGAAAGGCTTATGTCAACCAATGCGGAGGCACGTCAATTGCTGAACTCAATGACCAACGTTCGCCGTGATCGAAACGGAATGTACTTTTCATGCGATTAAACACCAGATCCGTTTAATTTAAATTGGTCCTTGGAGCCGATGATCGAAAATCCGTTTGTTAGAAATTTCGAGGCAACTTCAATACTTAAAACTTTCATTTGCTATGAATTCCGTTAATAAAGCCGAAAAGCCTTATGCAAACATCTAAAATCTCATATTTTTAAAAGAATAATTGGATAATTTTTTCAAAATATTGAATTCAAAAACAAAACACATTTCCATGAAATCATGGTTTAATTTGAAATAAATTTTATAAACTAACGAAAATTTTCATTTCTCTCTTCATTTAATTTTCTTTATTACACATCATAAATATTTTCCTGAATTTGCGAAGAATTTTGGTTTTAACTTAATACGAAACATGAATAGAATGTTTTGGTTTTCGAACAGTTTAAAATTTGATGAAAAACAGGTGAGTGCTTTCTCAGCTGTTCTAATGCATACAACCGCCTCTAGACGGGCAACATTTGAACGCCTGTAGAACGTAAACCGTAGATCGGATCACATTGCTTCAAAGGGATATTTTATTCATCAATGTTTTTTTCTTTATTTTTGTCTTTGGCAATATTTGTCTATGTAGTGTGATTGTAAAGTTATAAACAAAAATGTGTGCAAAAACAAAAATTTGACCAAATCAATTATTCGAACTCCCAATTAGTCACATTTTTGACACTTTTAAACAATGGATTTGATTGTTCTATGATTTATGTCAATCATATTTCCTGACTAAACCATGATGAATCTAGGATTATGAAAAAAAATTTAATTATCTATAGCCAAAAATCAACCAAGTACCAGCTACTCCCAGAGGGTTAATATAGACGATTAGTGCAAAAGACACAATTATAGAGGAAACTTTGAAGAATGAAAATTCTTATTGAAGCAATGTGATCCGACGTAGGATTTGCGTTATACAGGCGTCCAAATGCTGCCCATCCAAAGGCGGTTGTATGTACTAGAGGCTTCAAAGACGAATTTTAATTAAAAACAAAACGAGCATGCACAAATGAAATTTGTATTTAAAAGAAGAATAGCAACGAAATCGTTTTGAATGGTAGTGTGCTTGAACAAGTGTCAGAGTTCAAATATCCAGGGCGTGTTTTCTCAGAAGATGGAAAAAGATGGGTTAAACTGATTTTTAAAACATAAGCTACAGTCCTTTCATTCTTCTTACTTCTAATGTAGCAGATGATTATTGTGAGAGAATCGAAATCGAAGGGAATTAAATATGTTGTCGAAATGAAAATATATGCCTTCAAAATTCAGATATTTTTCAACTGAAAATAAATTCCGAAGTTATTTTCAACACGAAAACCGTGCAGTTTTTTTTCCTCCAAATTTTCAGTAAGAACATGAACAAATTATTTACAGAGAATCGAAGGGAAAACGAAATTGTTAAAGTAAGATATATCAAATATGTGCGTCGATATGAATGCTTTGAGTATGCTTGAATCAATTTACATTACTTCAGCATGTTTGAAGAAACGCAGACCAAACCAATCAAATCTGAAAAAACCGTATCGATTTCAGAAATCAAAACATTCAATATTATTTCATTGTCCAGTTAAGTCGAATGAAGAAAACTTCGATCATTGCAGTAATGTCGTTCGACTCGTCAAATGTGAAAGTTATTTCTCAAGAGAATAAAAGAATATTTGTACAAGTGAAGAAAGGGAAGGATTTTCGTGAAAACTGTGGGAAACAAGTGACGTGGCAATGGATGAAGATATGAAAAAGATATTTATTTCAACTATCCTGAACAACAATTAGAAATATGGCGATAGTACAAGTGGCCTGTCGTTCGTTGAACTATCCCGAGAGTGCTTAAGTTCGACTCTTCTTAGTATTAGACTATTCAAAACATATTCAATTTTTCATCTGTTCTTTGACAGGCAAATACGAACACATGTATTGCGGAGAGATCATGCCAACCGATGTCGAGGCAATTCATCTTCTGAATTCGATGACCAATGTTTTTTGTGACAACAATGGCATGTACTTTGTACGTGATGCATCGTATGTGATCCCAAGATATCGATGAGCGATCATGCTACTGATAATTGAATTGAACGAAAATAAAATCTCAAATTAATTGGCAATGATTGCACCGCCCAAGATGTTCATATCTACCATTCAATTTAAAATAAAAGCATACATTTTCAAAACCGAAAAAAAGGCTTTTCATCCCGATATTAAATGAAGTTTATGAGTTTTTGAATTGCTTTTCTTTCTAAATGGTAAATGGTTGTTTAGTCTACAGAACGCAAAGAATGAAATTGAATGGAATGAAAACAGAAAAGTTTGTTCTACTGTTTGCTGATACATCAAGGCTGAATCACTGAACTAAAAATCTCCAATGCTATTTTTTTCCACTGAAATCACGATCATAATGGACTTTTATTCATTTGATACAACGCAAATTCGAGGCAATATACTGCTGCCATTACTTAAAACAATTTCACTCCCTTTGGCTCTCTCTTTCTTCATCGGCTAATGTCGTCTATTCAGCATAATTCAATACCAACATACAGAACAGGCTGTTCTGAACAACTCACAGACTCTGGTTGTACACATAGAAATCACAAACGGAATTTTATACTGGAGAATCGATTTGATTACTTCAGGATGTTTGAAACGCAGACACTCGCAAAAAGTGTATAATCAAAGAAAAAAACACTCTCTGATGCACACACTGCAATAAGAAACAAATCCGATGCATATAGTTTGCACATTTCATTTGAGTCGAACCATTTTTTTCCATTCTTGTGTTGTAGTTTAAACGGTTAAGTCAAGATATATCTCAAGAGAAAGAAAATATTGTATATTAATTGAAAAAAAGCTTCCTTAAAAATAAAACACTCAAGTATTTCTGAAAATATTGAAAAAAAATGTTACCAATAATGGTAAAAAAGTATCTCATTACGACCATCCTTCAAGGCAGCAGTCTATCGAGTCAATGCAGCATGTCATTCTCTGCTCTATGCGGTAAGTGAACCTAAAAATTCAAATGGTTTTGTGTGCATTTCCATGTTAGACTATTCTAAATATGTGATGAACATTTTGCCATTGATTTTTCATGTGGATTAACAGAAGCATTCGAAAAACGGGCACAGGAAAAGATTATGCCTACCGATGCGCAGGCACGTCAACTTCTGGCATCAATGAACAACGTTCGTCGTGACCGAAACGGAATGTACTCTACATTTGGAGTCCTCGAGAGGACGGAATAACAATGATCTTACATGTTACATGCCAGAACAAATGATGAACACCTTCAAAGAAAAACCTACAATAATTGAATTCGATAGAAAATAAAACACAATTTCATGTATGTTTCTTAGGTATGAAATCACGGTTTACTTTGAAATAAATTTTATAATTTTTCATAAATTTTCATTTCTTACTTCATTTGGTTTTTCTTTCATTTATTTTTCTTTAAACTAAAAACTGATATTTACGTTTTGTGTGTGTTTTTTTGTTCAAATATTTCTTGGATTTTGCCTTTCGTTTGTTATCACCTGGGGCATTGTTGAATTCATGAAATGAATGAAATCATTTTTAAAATGAAACAAAATTCGCGACTAAATTGGAAACTTAAATGAAATTGCATCCGTTTGGCTCAAACTACAACTGTATATGTGTGTTTTCCATTTATTTTCATTCTTCGATTTTAATTTTCTATCCAAACTAGCAATATTTTGCGCGTGTGTGTGTGTGTATGTGAGTGAATGTGGGCAAATGTGTTGCCATTTCATAAATATTTGCCTAGTTTTACGATTGATTTTGGTTTTACTTAATGCGAAACGGGGGGGAAAATAGAATATTTTGGTTTTCGATCAGTTTAAAATTTGATGAATAACAGGTGAGTGTTTGTCTCAGCGTCTATATTTTGAACTGATTTTTTTTTTAAAAAAAAGAATTAAGTCATAGTTTCTTTTCCTTCTTCTTTAAATTGTAAACAAAAAAGAATGAAATATTGCACATTTGAACTTTTTTTTTCTACTTCGAGAACCTGTGCATGCTTGGCATCGTTGGCGTGTGGAATTTGAACAAATCCCATTTTCCATTGGACACATCGATGGATATGATGTGTGATTCTCGCGTATATATGTTTTGGCAGTGAAAACAATCTCAGTGAAGTAGTTTAGTGTTTGTTTGTGTGCGGCACCGATGATTTTCCATCGGTGTGCTTCACATTCTGTCTTTCTTCTCGTGGAATGCAATTGTTTTATACACTAAATGGCTTTACTTGTTGGTAGCTTGTTTAAAACAGAATTAATTATGATTTTTTTTTGTAACACGTATTTGTTTAAGTCAAATGTTCAACAAAATGCACGAAGAAAACATTCGAGAGAAATAATTATATATGTTTTGTTGACAAAAAAATTCCACTGAAACAAAAAAATATAGCAATGAAATGTACGGTTTACAATTTGGTTGGTTTTTTTATCGTATTTGGTTCCCTACATCTAGAGGTGTGTGTGTGTGTGTGTGTTTTTCCGTTTAAATTGTTCTCTATCTGTTTCCATTTAGATTGTTTCCGACTCTCTTTTCACTTATGTTATTAATCTTCAATTTGAGTTACATCAATGTTAGTTGTATTTTGTCTCCTTATTAGAAATATAATCCTTCTTTTTTTGTTTATTCTTTTCATCATATTAATAGATTAACATATGAATTTATGTTTTTTTTTCTGTGTTGCCCATTTTCATCCTTCTTTCATTTCAATATCGTGTTTTTAATGTTATTTTTTGTTGTTGTTTGTATACCTCACCTAATTATTTTTTTTTTTTAGTTTAAATGTGTATATGTAATAGCTTTTTTTTTCTTGTTGATGCAATGCAACAAAAAAACACACGTTAACATGATGCCGTGTGCCAACTTGTATGCATTACCATTTTAATTCGTTTTTTTTTTTCAAACAGAATGCGTGCGCGCGTTAGATGTTCTTTATATTTGTCGCTGTACCTACAAGGATTTTACGTGATTCACCTACTTTCTCTTTTTCTTCCATTTTTTTCTGCTTTTTTTAAATCAATCATTTTCACCAAAATATAGCTCTTTGACGTTTTGTTTCATTTTTTGTCACTTTTGTTTATTACTTTTTTGTTTGTTTGTCCTATACAATTACTCTGTCTATTTTATTCTCTTGCTGCAATCGTTAAATTGGAACAGCTCATTTGCCATACCGAAATGTATTTACAAAAACATCAAATGTGCAGTCATACTTCAGCCTCTCTATCTCTGCCCACCCAAAACGATTGAATGCGTGTAAAAATTCTGCTTTGATTGCAAAATAGAGGCGGATTTTGGAGAAGAATTCAAAGATATTTTTGGGTAAAAAGAAAAAAACAAAACTCAAGAATGCAAAATGAAACAAATTCTGTACTAACTAAGTCAATGGTATTACTTAAAACATAAATGGCGGAAGAAAGTTGACTTCTGAATGATGAAAACCGTGAAAACAGCCAATTTCTTGGTAAACTACCATAATTTTTTTCTAACTGTATGACCCGAACATTGAAATTAATTCTATGTTGTGAATACTGAAAAGAAAACATTCCTGAAGTCAAGGTTCATTGACTAGTTTATTGAAAAGAGAATTAGATCCATAAAAAAAACCGACAAGAACATAAAAGTGAACGAAAAGCCAAGAAAGTTATGTACATTGAGGGGAAAATTGTTCCTTTTGAATTTTTGAATGGGAACTTTCCCTGCTCTCGAAAATCGAAACGGTCATAAAAATTGGGCAATAAACCAATGGAAATAATGAAATCGAAACAAAATGAGAATGAACAATGGATGATGACGGCTTGTAAAATAGTATAAACATATGCGAATTTGGCTAGAAAGATAATGTTCATATAAGAGAGACCGTAACATAAACATTTGGAGGTTGAAAATCAACAAATTTAAATAAGGAATTAACAAATTCATTTCTAAGTAACAAATTACTTTGCAAAAAAAGGAAAACAAATGAAACGCCATCCGAACCTTGTTCTTTCTCTAGAACCAATAACGCAACATTATTCAAATATTCAGTGATGCATTTTCAATTACATCGTAACAATTGATAACGTTTCCTCACCGAGAGTTTGATCGTTCAGCAGATAAGAGATTAAGAAGTTGATTTCTATTTTATTGATTTGTGTTGAAATTTTCATTTTTTTTCCCTTGAAAATTGGTTGAATGAATGATTTTGAGGTGTTTTTTTTCCTTTCTGTTTTGAATTAAATATCTTTTTTTAATGCGTTAAACCATATCAGATATTGATAGCGCTACGAACAATACCGCCGGGCGCGTTATTACTCGTGCCACCACATTGCATTCCCTTGTTATTATCACATGCGACTATATTGCCGCCCACACTATAACCACCGCCAATTGCACTGTCGTCACCCGTGTCACCACCCCACAATCCAAACGATGAGATCGCCATTGGAAATAGATAAAATAAGATGAACAACGTCGCATAGATGATAACATGCAGCAAAATACACGTCCACACCAATTTGATCTGTAGAAAGGGAAAGAGAGCTACTAAACAACTTTTTCTTGCATTTATTTTCATAGGATGAGGAAGAATTTTCGAAAAACTTATGAATGTGATAAGATGGCTATCAAAATATTCACATTTAATGAAAATTCTTCTTCAAAATTGAGATTGCTAAACATGCATTGCGATGAGATTTTTGGTTATCAATCGTGCCATTTACCTTTGCCTTGCGTCCATATGTAGTAACGCTTAAGAATGGTACCATTGTGATTGTGAGCACGGTACCGCACAAAATGCCACCCATTAGACCGACGATGTGCTGTTGCCATGGTAATGTGCCAATGGCAAAGATGCACACCGCCAAAAAGATCAATTTGATAAGTGCCATATGCGGCCGCTTCAATTGTCTCCAATGGATCATAATTAATAGCACAGCCATAGAAGAAACAACGCCGGCTATCGATGCTAACGGACCAACCTATAAACAGAAAAAAAGTTATAACAAGAACAACGGTTATTTTTGTCGTGTATTGCATAATCAATTTGGCATCGAACAACGATGTCATTGTCGCTTAAAATAGAACGTGCCTTTATCTAAACAACGGAAAATGTTCGGCTCTTAAAAATAAAACTTCACAAGGCATAAACAGTAAGTCGATATTAATTTGAGTTCGATACTTTGTATACAAAACGGCATAAACAAAAATCAGAGAAATAAACGAAATTGAAATGAAAATCCCTTCGTATATTGAATGGGCATTGGTATATTGACAAAATTCGTCGCATAAATCATTTGATTTTATTACAGTAACGACGACGGAGAAGCAATAAAAAGGGCTTGCTTGAATTCTTTGTCTCGCTTCACACGCCGCCTGAACATTTCATTCTTTCAACCTCTTGCTCGTGCCTTTTCGCTCATTCTCTCATTGCTTCTTCGTCATTTTCGTCTGTTCAGCATAAGTTGACAGTGAAACATAGAACAACGACACACACACAACAGCTCAAAAATGCGACAGTTTTACATAAACGCAAAACACTGGAGTCCAAACATGGAATACCAAGACACAAGCGATAGTGCGGCAATACACAGATAGCAACACAAGTGCTGGGCACTCTCTTTCTCTCTCTCTCACACACACAACATTCGATGCATAAACACAGTCGAGCGAACACTGTCAAAATCGCTGAGCTCAACTAAAAATTGTTAGTTTTTCAATAGTGCATTATCACGTTGCAAGTCGGGTGTTTTTTTCCAACATTTAGAGAGTTTCTACAGACGAAATTAAATAATTAAAGTCAAATTTTCAGAAGAGCAAACACATCTGTTCGGATAAATCGTAGTTTTGTCACAATCCATCGAAAATGTCGATTACTGGCGACGTAAAAAAGAAAATCGTTCTAAGTATATTGAATACCTTCGCTAAAACTGGCGCTGGTTTGACGCAAGTAAACAGTAAGTTGGTCAGAGATTTGATGAGTAGCCATTTTTGCGGAAGCATTTTTAATTTCATCAATGAAAAAAATTAACCTTTTTCTCGATTCCACATTTATAGAAGAGTATGAAAATCAAACTGGTGAAAAACTCGCTCCTAGCAAACAAGAAGGTGAAATATACATGCGATCTATTGGAGAAGAGGTGGCCGTGGATATGTTTGGTCGGTATTGGTCAAGATCCGAAAAATCAGCGCACATCCTCAAAATGGTGTCCGAACAGAATACGAAGTTTTCACCAAACTATCGTGGAAATACTAGAATGTTCAACAAAATATTCAACCATCCATTCGGCACCCAACGCCCAACGGTTTCGTACGTTTGTTACAATCTAAAATTGTTTTTTTTAGTTGAACGTACGTTTTTTCATTTATTTCTATTTTTATAAATATTTTGAACAGATATAGAAACGATTATGTCGATGTGAATATTGTCCCACGAGCATCGAAAATCAAAAGTCGACGAATGACTTGCGGTCCTTTCAATGTGTATGTATACTTTGATTGTAGTTCATCTTAGTTTGTTACGAACAATGTTCTCTCTACCTCTCTCTCTTTGAAACGAGTGCAGTGGTTGAATTTGAACTGAAAGATGTCGAGTGAATGCGTGTGTTCTAGTGAAAAACACGAATAACGGCACTTTCTTTTGATGTAATTTGATCTAGATTTGAAATAGCGTCAGTGACCACACATTTTGCTTGGTTAAACTCAATTGAGATATGGTTTGAGATTTTTGCACCTCAGTAGTTTGACTGTTTCAACCTCGGTGTCGATATTTCAATTTTTTACATGATTTCTATACTTTGCAATGAGTAAATTGATGTTGTTTTTCGCAAACAGTCACTCGTCATCGTCAGAAACGGAGCAGAAGAAACGACGTTCTGTGACACCAGATCGTGGACGAGCATCAAAACGGCTTCGAAGCCGTAGCAGAGACCGCACTCGCCGATCGCCGGATGGCCATAGAGGTAGAGCTCGGTCACGCAGCCCTCCAAAATGGCCGGGACGCTCACGATCGCGAAGTCCGCCAAAACGAACAGGACGTTCAATTTCACCACGATACTCGCCACGCCGGTAAGTGAAATTTTCGATTTTATCCAAAAAAAATGCGAACTATTGCTCGAAAATCCGTTCATCTGTGAGGCAGCAAATGGCACTAACTTTAATATTATATTAATCTCGTATAAACACTATTTTTGCTTTGAAAAACAGCTCACCAGTCAAAGATAAATTTTCGGTTGACCCGAGAATCAAGCGTACCAACAGCCCAACAGACAACAAACCAAATAATACCAGAGCTGCACGTTCGCCACAAAGATGTCGCCAACAAAATAGCCGATCACCGATTAGATGGCCTACGGTATGTGTTTTTTTTTTGTGCGGAAATCATTTGACTTTGAATTCCAATCGAGCCAAATGCTCAAATACGGTGTTTGATAAGACGTATGTGAATTTTCATTGACGAGAGATTTGTTTTACGTTCCACACAGTCGAATGCACGTGCAAATGTACCCATAGATGCCGAAAATACCGAGAAAAAATCGTTGAAAAACGAAGAAAAGTCCCAATCCACTCCAACAAACGGTAAGTGAGTTTATTTTAGGCTGCTTATGAGGTGACTTAAACTTATTTCTTAATTTCAGACACAAAATTACAAGCCAAAACGAAAAAGTTCAAATTCACAATCATTGGCGATGGTTACATGTACTACATGCTGTCTGATATGCAATGTAAGTGTTCATTGCTCCAAGAATTCATGGCTGAATCAATTTGTTATTGTTTGATTGAAAAATAAAATAAAAATTGTGTCCTTCAATTACAGCTGATGTCAAATTCAATTTGTCAATGTGTAATCATACGCTGACAATTGGCGATGCACTGAAAATGATTGATGTACAACATCAGACATTGCAGAAGAAAAAGCGAAAAGTGATGATTGCCATTGGTGTCACCGATCTGCGAAACGGCCGTACATTGTGCGAAATGAAACGCGATTTCACGGCATTGTTCTTGCGTTGCGATCATTACGGTTTGAAACCGTTGATTACAACCATTCTATGCTTTGACTTGCCCGAACTCAAAACTAAGGCCGATCTATTCAACAGCTTTTTGGTGGATTGCTTTGAAAATGTGGTCGACATGCGGATGGTTTTACGAAGCGGTTTAGCTGATGTGACGACAGCATTGAACAAAAAGTAAGTCAAGGGAAATTATGCGGATTTTTCATTGGAAACAGCGAAGAGATGTGGTATTGAGAAAAATTACCACTGAAGAAGAAACAATAATTTGGCGTTTGAAGAGGGGATTTTGAGTTAAATTTCGCTCTAAATTTCAGTCTTTATAAAGTCCCCATTTTCGGTTGATTTCAATGGAACTCGATTCTTAGGTTGAATTCGTTGAATTTAGTGACATTGAGAGAAAGACAAAGTTCTGTTTCTTTTACACGTCATTTTGGGCAAAGTTTCATTTCATTCGAAATTACATCAAAATCATATGGATGATAAAAATCCAAAGTCATCTTTAGACATCGTATTTAAGTGTTCATCTTTTTTTTCTCCTTCACAGACATGCAATGAAACTCCATCAGAACAGTTTGGGACTTGGAACACGACAAGAGCTCATCCTCAACGTGCCGAAAGAATGAACTGACGAATTCCATTTCATCATGATCTACCTCGAATAAAATCCTTTCCAAACAGCTATATTCCAAAAAACTACCCATTTTAAGAAACAAACAAACCATATGAATTAAGAATGAAAACAATTTTGCAAAACAAAGATAAAAAAGAACCTCAACAAACTTATTGACAACTGTCATGTGAAAATGAAATGAACAAAAATAAAATCAACGATTTTTTTCTTATAAATACATTCAAAACAAAACTCGTCTTAATGAATAACAGATTCAGCATTCTTTCCTCCCCCAAATCAGTGTCAGCCCAGGTTTCAGCAGGTACTTTTCAATATTTTAAATTCAGATAGAGAGTTTACTCACTTCTGGTTTATACGGCAGAAAAATGGAGCTAAGTAGATTTCCAGCTACACCACTACCCACGTACAGTATGGCTGTTCGTATCGGTCCCAGCAAACGTTCCAAATCGGTCAAAAATATGTGCTGAAAGGCAACGGTGATAACTAAATGTATGATACCGGCATGTAAGCACAGCGACGTAAACAAACGGTAAAATTGATCAGGTGCATCGGGCGATATAAATGGAAACATTCCGCAAATGTCGTTCAAACACGAAACCTGTGAGAAAACAAACGAGGAACAAAGCACGCGGTAAAATGGGTTAATTGGCGTTCATCCAAAGTGAGTGATGGATTCACTGTATTTACCTGTGAACACAAAGATGCTTCTTCATGAAAATAACCATTGACAAAGTCACAAAATTCACGTGTCGTTATTCGACACTCGCCGTAAACGCTGATACAACACGGGTGTCCAATTACCTGCACGGAATATTTAGCAAGATTTTTTGAAAAAGTTTTTTTTTCTGTGAACGTAACAAAGAAACCGGCGGCGGGAAATTGTAACAACTAGAAAATCTTACCTCGCAAACCATGTGCTCAGCTGTGTGATCTTTGTAACGGAATCTTTGTGAAAATGAATTGGTTTTCCGGCATATTGGCCATTTGGTGATATCATCTGGCCACTCGTACGGTGCTATTGAAGCGGGCGCATCGCAATATTTTGGATCTAAGCCGCATACTGAACCAGATATACGACCGCCCGGCCCTGATTCACCCGGTGACCATTTTTTCCACGTTGAAATTGACTTCTGCGATGCGAAATGGGCGAAAGTGGGACATTTTTATTAAGGGATAAATTAGGAAAAATTAAGAACAAAGATATAAAACAAATCATTGTAAACTAACCGTTGGCCAAAGCCCTCTAACGCTACAGTCTGCCTGTGAGCTTTGTACACACCCAGAGTCATCGTTTCGTATGCAACATGCCGTTTCACGCTCCTGTCGCCGTGTCTTCGCCATAACATCCAATATTTTAAAATCCTTTCTCATGCATGCCGCAAATTTGGCGCCCAAATGAACCAAATCATCACCTCTCGGTCCGATCCAAATGTTTCGTGGCTCTTGATGTTGAACTTGTTGTAAACTCAAGCTGGTCACCAGTACTTGGCCATTTTTCTTTTCCATACCGATGCCAACCGGTCCAAAGCCATAACAAATGAGTGTCAAACAGAGGACCAGCACCTGCACAGTATTAATCCAATAGGTAAAATACGGTCTATGATCGTATCGATCGTCTAGCTGATGTACGTGTAACAGTTTTAATTTCTTTTGTGTGGGTCGACGTGAATTGTCTTGCACACCGTCTAATAGTTGAGTGGAAATCCTTGTGCCGCGATGCGTCCCATTATTGGCCGCGTTCGGATTTGGTGAGCTAGTATTTGTTGAGTCGAAGAATAGTTCGTTCTCTTGTAGGTTCGGCAATGAAACACCGTCAAATGCATCATTTCCACCAAAATCCAATTCGTTCGGCTGCGATAAGTCGCTCGAGTGAGACTGTTGATGTTGTTGTTGCTGCTGCTGTTGCTGTCCAATGAACGAGTTATTCAAATATTGCGGCGCAAAGCTACGCGACCATTGACGCTCGTTGCGTGGAACTTTCTTAGTAAATGCGTGAATTGCATACTGTAGTCCCAGCCATAGTAATGATGAAACGGCTGCCTTACGCTCGATTATCAAGTGTTGGTTTACGATTGCGGCATCCTCTTCCAATTCATCATCATCGTCGATATCAATTTCATCGTCCAAATTGTGACGTCGCACCATATTACCACCATTTCGATTCATTACATTTACATTTTCGCGGTCGTAGTAGTGATGTGATGTCGACATATGATCCACTGGTAATATATCCGGCCGATCGCTTTGCTGACGATCACGACGCTCATCGATTTGGATCTGTTTGAGAATGGGAACGTTTTGATTTTAGTCAAAGTGTGGTAAATAGGATGATTTAAAATCGTTCTTAGGGGAATGACCCCAAGAGCACTGAAAATCGACTCTGACTCTTTAGGAAATCACTTTACCTGTTTCAATGAACCAAATCGACGTAATGCAAGTCGCTTCTGTCGCTCCGACCATTTTACACGTTCTCGATCCTCGCTCGCCACATCGACGCCGAAAAATTTGGCTATCTCCCGTTTCACGTACTGCAAATCAAACGAAACCAAAATCATTACCAAAATATGAAACAAATCTGGAAATATGCGATCAAATTAAAATCAAAGTTTCCGTACCTGTTTAATCTTTTGCTTGCGTGATGTGTGAGGTGCTTGATCAGAATCATCGGCGAGTTGTGATTGAACCAAGCTTTCTTGCGATTCCAATTGTGACTGAGATTGTTGTGGCGTGATTTGTTCCTGCTGCACTTGCACTTGTTGAGCTCCTATATGACGGGAAATATTTAAATTAATTTCAATGAATTAATTTGCCTTTCATTGCATATCCGTTTCGTTTTTTATACATCTTTATTTATTTAATTTTTTTTTCTTCTATATTATTTCCTTTTTTTGAGCTTCCTTTTGTCTAGTCAAAACGGTAACTTTTTGATTCTTCCAAGAAAAAAAAAAATTTTAAGTGGAAAAATTGTTGTATCTATTTGAAAAGTAAGACATGCTTTTTCTTCCTCAATACGAACATGTGTACGGTGATAGTTTTCCTCCAATTTCTCACGGCCAAACATATGTGAACGAACAATGTTTCGTCGAATGATTGTTTCATTGACACGATTGCATGACTTTTTGCATGCATTTCGGCACGTATACTCGACCCAAATTCAAACATGGTAAACACAAAGTGTTTACACAGTAAAATCAACTAAAAATTGATTAACCGAAATTAAAAACGTGACGCAATTGAGTGAAATTTTATACGTGTTAAGTGCACATCAAATCAGAGGGAGAAAAGGAGAGTGGACGCAAGCGGGTGAGAATGAGAAAGAGAATGAAAAAACAGAAAGAGAGAGAGAGAGAGATAGGCGGCCTTGATCTATGGTTTCTTTATATTGACCAATAAAACTGAAATGCGACTTGATTTTTATCACCATGTGCATTGAGCTTAATTTTTCAACCCACTTTTATCGTGATAATAATATCCGTCTTTTCAAAATCAATCATCGCGGTAAAAACATGTTGAACATGTGTTCGGTGTGTTGCTTTTAATTGCAAATTCGACATTTACGATCGTTGAAGAAAGAAAAAAAGTCGGAACAGTAAAATTTAAACCGTACCGTTCATTGCACAAAAACTTTTAAGTAGCAAACACACATTTTTTGGCACCAGATCATTTTTGGTAACGAGACAACGAGTTTTTGGGGTGGAAAAAATCATTTTATGGGGCAAATTACACACACAATAATGGATTTAACCATAGATTTTAAAATTAGTTTCATTTACGTACCATCTCTGTTGAATGTCTGTTGCATCGGCTGAGGCTGCGGTTGCTGTTGCTGCTGCTGCTGCTGCGACTGTTGTTGTTGTTGAAGTTGCACCTGTTAAACGAACATACATGCCATTTGAATGTTTCGAAATACTTGTGCTTTATGAAATTATTTCATTTCCGAGAACTATTTTAAAATTAAATTCGAGCATCTCTCGTGAATTCTCTTGTCATGCGAAGAAATGTGCACGTTTAATACGTTCATTCTTGGGGTTTATAGTGAATTCACGTGAAATAATTGCTCAAACTGAATTCAGTTTTCTCGAACATTCCATGGAATTCGATTCGTGTGGTTTTCTACTGACCTGTCGAAGACTCGATGCCGCACTAGTTGATGCCTTTTCAAAGTCACCATTGTCGGAGAAGCCCAAGAAAACGGTTTTGTTATTAATATTTTGTGGAATCGGGCTAACCGGTCCCGTTTGAGTGGTTTGATGAACTCCAGTTGTGCGCCGCATTGTATTGCAATGTAAACATGTTCCATTGCCCGTATTTTGTGCTGAATTGTTCATTGAATTCGATGGTATTATTGCTGAAACTACATAACAAACACAAATCCAATTTTCAGAAATGATTCTCAATGATGTGCATCAAATACATAAGATATTGTGTCTGGAAAGTTTAGAAAATACCATATGAATTAGCAGCATTTAAAGGGTGATGATGATGATGATCATATGGTACGTTTGTATGCACTAGTTCCTGCGATTCGACTTGTGGATGTGATACTTGCGATTGCTGCTGATGATGATTATTCATGATGACATTTTGTTGATTCATTGACTGTGGAGAAGAACAAAAGGATTTTCCATTGAAAAATATCATACAATTTTCAAATGCTTGAATGCTTTAAACCATATTTAATAATCCATCCTCATTTTTATTCCGATTTCCTTTTTTTTCTTTAGATTTCCCACGAATTTGTTTCTTCTTTACCTGTTCGTAAACATTTCTAACGGATGATCGAACACTAGACGAGCCACTTTTTCCGCTGTTCAGTGACAATGTCGATGTGGATGAAACAGATGGTACCAGCGATTTTGGGGAAGCAGTTGCTGACATTGATAGTTTGGTCGAGTTCATTTGACGAGCACGTGGCGTCGTTGCAAATGCATTTGAATTTTCTGTTAAGCGAATGAAAGTATTGAAATTTAACCGATTTATATTGGGCGATTCGCATTTGTTTTGAACGCAACATAATCATATTGTATTGAATGTAAACAAAGATTGCTTTATTCAAAACAGATCTCAAATTTATCGTATAACAAAAGCTTTAAAATTTAGAATTGAATCAATTTTCTCGCTCGTTTACCTATATTCTCGAGATTTGGGCAGCATTTCATGCGATAACGGTAAGATGATGTAAGTGTATTGCAGTTCGACTGTGATGAGTTTCGTGGTGTCTACGATGATTTTGAATAAAAATTCATAAATTTTCAAATTCAATATTGACGCAAATAAAAAAAAAGTCTCGAGAAAGAGGGAAAGAACAGTTACCTGTTGATGATGGGGCAAGACAACTGTTGAGTCGGAATAGATATCCGTTGCGATCGTGTTGGTGCTGGGAATGTAACGTTTAACCGGTGTATGAACGGTCGATGATAAATAGCCGCTTAGATAAGTGTCCGTTGAATTTGTCACAATTGAATTATTTGTGTTGCCAACTAAGCCGCGATTCACCACATTACCGTACATATTCACCGAATTCGTGTCGACAACGTTGTTTGTCATGCTGCCGCCAGTCGACACCAGCGGTGCTCCATTGGCTAAATAATGTGGTGGCGGCAAATATCTATCACATTTCGTTGCAACATCTCGATAACGATCCGGCATCGAATTTTTATATCTGGAGAAAAGAGTGAAGGACAAAACAGCGATACACATCAATCTCATGTTCCCATTTTAATCGAAATTTATATGGGATAAACGGACAAGAACACTTACCTTTGTTGCGATTGTTGAGTTTGATGATGTTGCTGTGGAAATTTTAAAGAAAAAAAAATGAGCTTCAAAGAAAACGGATAAAAATCAACTGAAATATCTTTTAAAGATTGAACAGAGTCAAAGAAAATCGTTGGCCACAATATCAGTGGGAAAGCCAAGGAGAACGAAGCACTTTTGAGTCAAAAAGAGGATAAAATCAAAAAATAAGATGGCTTTTAGAGAAAGACATAAAAACACTGGAAAATGCTTTACTGAATAAGAAATACAATTTCAAAGGACCAAAAATTTAATTCAATCAAGAATACTGATTCGATTTTCTTTCTTTTCTCCGTTCAGTGAGCTAATTGTGAAAATCAGCTGTATTTTCCACAAGATTTTCCAAATGAAAATGTTCAAGAATCTTTCTCTTGTCTTCAAAATGATGAAAAATCCGAAATTCTGCAGCCTCAATTAGACAAACGATTGTATCATTTCAGTTTTTCTGTTTTTGCTATACTACTTGTGTGCATTGTTTCGTGTTTTTTCTCTTTCTGGGCAATGTGTCCATAGGGGTATTGCAACGACCATAAAGTATATATATTTCATCAAGTTTATCAAGCTCTTTTTCCAAGTTTATGCATAGTGTCGAACTTATGTTCAAGCTCTACCATCTAAATGTACAGTAAAATAATTTACGGGCACGACGTAAGATGGCGTTTTTTCTGGTCAAAAAAGTTGCAATATCCCTTTGAATGTGTCAAATGCATCCACACTTACCTGTTGATGATGCTGTGGTGGAATGCCAATGAATCGATCGCTGTTTGGTGCTGGTGACGGTGGTGGCAAACAGCATGTTGTAATTTCAGAATCATAGATATCAGGAGGTGGATGATGAATGGATAGTCGACTCGGTGTGCCAGATGGCGGTGGATCAAAAAATGCCACGGGAACATTACAATTGCGTCGATAATTGGAAATGGATGCATTTTGGTCGATTGATTGTGCATAATTGCTATTATTTGCTAAGCTGTACGAATGATAGCCGTTCAGTGTTGTACTGTTCGGTGACTTGATTTGATTGTTTAAAGTGTGTGTGGTTGGAGAGGAGTTTGCGGGTAGAATATGGCTAGTGGTGCTGCAACTGTCGTCATCATTTGAATGTGGCTGATCGGAGAAGTTGCCATCGATGCTTTGGATTGATTTGTTTGTGAGCTGAATGATCTGTGTACGACGTGGAATTGAAGAAGAGAAAAACAAATTTCGAATATTGAAATGCAATAAAAACTCAATGAAGCGAAAACTAAATGCCTCAAATTTATCATCCTAAATTCATAGTTTAAACTAACTTTATTAATTTGTGTATGAAGTTGTTCCAACCAATAAAATGAAGTATTTTCCAATTAGCGACACGAATAAATCAACAAACAAAGTAGAACGCTTATTTTAATGGAACACTTGAAACACTTGAATGGTCGAAAAATGGAAAACAAAAACCTATATGCGCAAAACATTTCCGTCCCACCAAAATGCGAACGGAAAAAGAAAAACAAAATTATCAACGGAAAATGATAAGAGCGAGACATTTGAATTTGACAGCAACAACAACAACAACAACAAAGGATGCATGAAATTTTAATAAAAATATTTGAAAGTTCAACGAAAAGAGCAAAGTTTGAATTGAAAGCGAGAGCCACCGCTGTCGTCGCTGATCAAAGATGATAATGATGATGATAATGGCGATTAATTCTCTACCTGAGTGTCTTTCGATTTGCGTCGCTTGATGGTACCACCGTTGATCACACCATTTATGTCACAGCAATTAATTGTTTGTGTGGAAGTTGATGTGATGCCGAGATGGTGATTATTGCTCGTATTCTGCAGATCATGGCATTGTTTCACATTTCCGTTGTGATTCGATAACGGTTGATGATGATGCAATTTCTTTGGCGACAACTGCTACAAGAATACAATTCAATTTCACATAATAATAAGCTTCATTATGCCATTTGCACATGCACGCATATACTCACTAATCGACACACACACACACACACACACATATATATATATATATATATATACACTCACGCATGAAATCGACGTCGATTAATTTCAATCAATCGATTTTCAACACACTTTATCACTCAATTTCGCTCTATTTCTATTCCATCGCAAATTTCAAGGTAAAAACGAAAGCAAGAAACTTTTGATGGCCAAAAACTAAAACTTACCGAAGACATTCAGCTGATGGACTTTTGCAATTCCAGTCCAATTGATTTACAATCTGTCCCGTTCTTCTCTCTCCCGCTCCCTCTCTGTTTTTTCCGCGATAATTATCCCTTTGATGAGTGATTCGCCGTGGTGTGGATTCTGTTTAAAAATTGAATTCATTAGAATCGCTGCTGGCGAATTGTCTTGTAAACGACTTTTATCTTGAGCATATTTTTCTCTTTTATCTTAAAAGAAACAGACCAAAGTCTGACATTTGTTTTTATTGTTTGTCATGTTCAAGTTTTTTCGCGCTCCCCCTATCTTCCTTTGAAGTGGGCTTTTCATCGAAATCCAAAATGGATTGGAGAATAAAAAAATACAGTTTTCATCACTTGTTGTCAGTTTCATACAGTGGCAAAAAAAATCCGCGGGCACTGTTTTCTCTTCATTCTCACAGCACGACCACAAAACTTTTCTAACTGCCGTTTTTTTCTCGTTAGTTCTTTAATTAGTTTGTGACTGAGTTAAAAGTTTTTAAAGTTTCATTTTAAGTTGGAAATGCATAAATTTTTGAGCAGTTTAGGTTTTAATGACTTTTCGGAAAGCCAATTCAAAATCGCTACGCTCTTGGTCTCTGTATATTGTTAATCGAAAACAAATTAATCGCTACGCCTACGACTGAAAATGTCCAACCTTCTGACCGAGCGACAATTATGTGATATTGGGTAATTTATAGTACTAATTGCGAATAATAAATACGATTTAATTGAGACTGAAATTCTAAAAAAAAGCTTCGATAGAATCGTGTGCTTGTTGTGTCTACGACAATTTTTCCAAGAAAATGATTGAAACACCCACTAAAATGTATGTACATAGAATTAGAGCGAAAAAAAAGTAGAGAAGGAAAGAGGAGGAAAAAGAAAAAAAATAACACATTGTCAATGATGGCTGTACCGCCTAAGCGTTGTGTAAGCATTGTCTTCAAATAGGAGCATTGTTTATCGCTGGTCATAACGCACAATTTCATATGATCGAAATTCTCGAATGCAAATAATGAACAAAGTGTCAAAAAGGGAAACAATGCATTTTGTTGGGCCAACAGCAGAGCCCAAACTAGCGACTGAATGATGTGCATGAATTAATGCGTGTGTCGTGCGGGTTATAAATAATTTCAGTATTTTCACGATGTAATAATTTCCAAATCAGAAAAAAAAGATAGGATATGAAAAAAGCAGTAAGCAAATAAATTGCTCGTACTAGAGACAGATTTCCGATGTCATACAATTTTCTCTCTATCTCTATCTATGTATATCTATAAAATATTGGATTGGGCTCCAAAACACCCAGAGACAGCTGATTGAATTATTTCAGTCGATGAATAGGTGTGTATGTATCTATCCATGTCTCACACTCTCACTCTCTCCTCGTTCGCCATCATCTCTGGCAAAGAATTTTGGATGGAAATAAATTTCGCATCAAGAAAATCATCGTTTTGTGTCGATGATGATGGCAAAATATGTATGTTTTTTATCTTCATCGCCATCATCGTGCACTTCTTCTTTCTTCACTGGATAGTTTTTAATGTGAAGCAAACGCGAATAATACGAAGAGAGAGAGAGAGAAAAAGGGAAAAAAACTTGAAAAAATTCTTGGCACGAAGGTTTTGACACCCATTGACACACTGCAATGGCTTACATTCGCAAACGCGCTCTTACTTACTTACGCGCGCTCTCAACAAACTATTTTCCATACAATTTTTGTAGTTCTTCATTCTGCGAAAATGAAAAAAAATTCCGTCGTCAACGTCGGTGTCCAGCGCGCCAGAGGACGAACGGGGGACGGGGTGTTTTAAAGGCAAAAAACTTCTAGTTCTTCTTAGGGTTAATTAAAAGCGATCACACAATTTGAAAAGAGTGAAAGTGCACAAAAGACATTTTTTGGAATCACATGGCAAAGCATTTAATGAAATCGTCGGCCATTGTGTATCCTTTGTTTTCATTTACCTTGTTTCGTTTTTTTCCCTCAATTTCGACTGTTCACATCATTTTTGTTGTTCTCATTATTTATTTATACATCCGATGGTGGAGAGTTGATGTGCGGGCGTTACAGAGCTTATTTTTTATTTCGTCTTTGGTTCATATGAGTCTTCTCAAAGATTCAATAAAACGCACACAAGCCGATTTATTTTCCCCCAAAACGAACAACAAATTTTTCGATTCTTTTGTTGAAAGAAGACAAAAAAGCAGCAGCAGCAAAAGCAGCATACACAAAATTTGAACGAATGATGAGTTGAGAGTTATGCTGGTGTGCTCCACACAATATTATCCTAGTTGCGGCACTAAAATTGAGCTATTTTTATTTCAACTAGTCGTCGTCGTCTCGTCACTTTTTTGTTGTTGTTAATAAACGTTATCACTTTTGCATATTTGATTGATGGAAATGTTTTCTTGTTTTGCTTTTAACTAATTTTAATAATTAAAATGTAACAAAAAAAAGTTTTCTTTTTGATTTCGTTGGTTGGTTGATTTGACTTTTTTCTCTTTTAAATTTCTGTGTTGTTATTGAAGAAGAAGCGAACAAAAAATATTGAGAGAGGAATCAGTCACGTGTGCGTGTCATGAATTGGTCTGCCAATTCCGAATCGTCGATGCAGATTCTCTGCTCATTTGAAGACCACTCGATGACTTTCGAAAAGCGTTCGTGTCGCTACAATTTAATTCATCATTTGATTTTCATTGTTCCTTGTCCAATATCCACTAGGCCAGAAAATGGATGGTTTTTTGGGTGAAATTTTTTGGCCTACACAGATTTGCCACACATCTGGCTTTTGCTGCTCCTATGTGCGTCGTTCTACTGTGTGTCGATATTGGCGTGAGTGTGGTGTGCGTTTTTTTCGTTCTTCACTTGTCTTTATTGTGCCGTCGCCTTTGGTCCATTTGATAAGATATTTTCAGATTGTGTATATTTTTCACATTGCCTTCGCCACCACTTTCAATTCATTCTCTTTTCTTTCTTCCTTATTGGCACAATTCAAACAAACTACGAAGTTTCCGCGGAAAAAAAATATATGAGAAAACCAAAAAGCATAACACAAAAGCAAACTCATCCACGCAAAAAAAGAAGAAGAACGAGAAATAGAACATCAAATAGCTGAACGCATGTTTGATTATTTTATCTTAAGCTTCACAGAAATTTTGTTCGATTAGAATTTGCCCGTTTTCCCGTAATTCGGCTGTTCAATTTCACGGATAAAATTGCACGTATTTTTTTCTGTTTCGTTTTCGTATGATTTTCTTGTTTTATTTTCTGGTTATTTATTGGACAAAGGAAAAAATATATGTATATAAAAAAAATGTCGTCAACGAAACTTCATTCGTAGTCTGTCTTGCACACTCAGAATATTATGTTCACTATGGAGAGAAAGAACCATTTTCCATTTTCATCGAGTTTTTTTTTTCAGGATATTTTGACTTTTTCGTGTGTTCGTAATGGTGTATATATGGATGTGGATACATACGCCGTCCATCTCTTTCTCTCTAACGCCTCACAGTTTCACTCTTGAACTGTGCAATGTTGATGTATTGTTGCCATACTTTTGAACGGCGCATAAGAAGAGCCATCACCACTTTGGCAAAAGGGAGACAGAGCAAACGGGTGTGCGAGCAAGCGAGAACACTACACAACAGCCAACGACACCATCGTTTATCTGCGACATGCGAATTCATAGCATAATTCGTCCTTATAATGTATGGGTATTCACGGTGTGCTAACACACATCGCAACATATCAAAATCAGCAACAAAAATAAATCTCCCCCAAATGTGAACACACGCACACACACCAAAATGGTTCAGGCAGAGAACGCGCTTGTTCAAAAACAACACATTCATGGATTGACGATTACTCCCAAGAACCTATTGCGTTTCGATGAATGTGTGTGCGTGGTGATATGCCTGAAGCCCCCAACGTCAAATCACTCACACATACAAAGCACACTGAGTTGCGGTGCACATGCGCATTACGCGTCAAGACCAATATTCAAACCCTTACGGAAATTGGTTCTGAGAAGTATCTTGACATGAAGGCTGCTGCTGTGTGAACTGAATGCATTCGCAAATTTGGACCGTTTTAATTTTTCATAAACGACCCATTCAATGCAATACACGGCCCATTGAAAATAGGCACATTTTTAATTGATATAGCGTGTTCGGTCCTCCGGCACCAATTAAACTCACTTCTTGCTGACATAAATTCCGAAACAACAGAGAAAACACCAAATTGCCTTACCTTTTGCTGACCATATGATTTTTTTTCGCTTTTCATTACTCTCTTTCTCTTCTATTCTTTCGCACGCACCAGAAATCTGCAAATGGAGGTGTAAGGGGTGTGGAAGATGGAATGTTTGTAAATATATTCCGATTGAAGCAACCAATTTTGTTTTTGTTTGTTTACATTAGTGTGTTTTTTACGGTTGTTTCTTTATTATCCATCCGATACAAAAGAAAGAGAACAACAGACAGAGATAGAAAAAAAAACAAAAAACAAAAATGTTCTAAAATCGATCAATTTGTTGTTTACCCCCGCACGCCCTATATGCTTTTACAATATAAATTATAAAATTAAATTGTTTGGCGTTTCAATTTTGGTTTTCCATTGTTTTATTTATCCCCCAAGTGTTCAATAATTCAATAGTTTTTTCGCGTTCATCATTACTTTTCATCTAGTATTCATCTTTAAATATACGCTTTTATTTATGTCTCATACTTGCAAATTGTATTTATTTCTCATGCTTCAGAGCTGTGTTACAGATTTGTTGTTGTTGTGTGTGTGTTTGTTTTTCTTAGTTTTTCTCTTCTCAACTTTCAATCTTTAATGCCTAATATTTTGTGATCGTCTATAATCATTTATCTTCTCTTTCTTCATTAATCGCGTTTGTACGAGTCGAAGTATCGAATCGACACAAATTTTCTTCATTCAGTTGATTTTTTTCCTTTAATTTATTTTTTTTCATTTAATCTAAAAGATACTTAATCTTTGCATACCTTTACAAAAGAATTTTTCAATATATTCTTTCTTAAGCACAAGTTATCCGATATGTTGCCGATCAAATCTTGCGGACTGGCTGCTCTTGGCCAAAAAAACAACATCGGATTGGTCGCCGATTCAATAGAGAGTTGATTCAACGTTTTTCGCAGCAATTTTTGTTTTTGTTTTATTCTCAGTCGACCCCGACCGGCTGCTCAAGCCACCAGCACAAGCATTGACCGATTACATGTCGGATACATTGTTGTTGTTTTTTATTTGATGTATATATATAAATATGTTCTGTTTTTAAGACTTTTCGATAATGTGTGTTGTTCTATTTTTTCTCTCTTCATTTCATTATTTTTTTTGCATTTTTTTTTTCGTTCAAGTCAGCGTAAATTCTGCGTCTGCTCGTATTATTATTATTATTATTTTTTTCTTCTTTATTTATCTTCAGATTTACTTTTTAAAGATTACTTTCAAAAATATCTAATTTTATATGCATATAATTAGAAGTTTATTTATTACAACTTTTTTTTTTCTTCTTAATTCTTTTTTTCTTTTTCTTCTTCATTAAATTAATTAACCAGCGATGTCTATTTTCCGTCTTCTTCCGAATCGAACGAATCATCATCAACATACTTAAGGAACTGGGTTAAATTCTTAACTGCAACTCCTGCAAACGAGAATGGAACAAAGTGATTAGAATAATGGAATATTTTTTTTCAGATTTTGAAGTTTGGTCAATCGTTTGTGAGAAATGAATTTTTTTAAATTTTAACTCAATTTGACGATGAAAATTATTAGTGAAATGCAATAATCTTACCTTTGCCCATTGGTTCATTGCTTGATGTTTCCCATTGTTTGAAAACGTTCGATGGAACCACTTCATCATCAAATAGTTTGGAAAACACTTTATGCAAGAAACCTGTAATATTCAAACGGAATTGTTGTTTTCATCAGTTTAAATGATCAATGATTGATTATGTGATTGATTCAAGAAGAAGAAAATTCGAAAATAATCGAGGAAAAAATTGGAATTGATTAAAATTCGAATATCGACATTTACCTGATGGATGCTCCAATTCATTGCTCAGCAACTGAATGGCGTACAACGATTCCAACTGTAAGTCCTGCTTTTGTTCACCTCCAATGTATCCTTTCAAAATGTCTATGCTTCGTGGGAGAATTTTATCCTCCAAATTATGTCCAGCTTTCGTACTATTACACGCGGCTTGGATCAATGTTCGTGTTAATAAACGTATACTTTGTTTATTAATTGTAGGCACATGAATCTGCAAATAGAAAATGTTAACATTAATGTTTTTCATTTAAAATTGAATTTTGCAATGAGCAGTTTAAACCATTTTCTTTTGATTTGCCATAAATAAAACAGTCATCTCGCTTACCTTAATATATTCATCAACTTCTTTTTCTGAAAAATCATCTTTGCGAACCAATTGATAGATTCTTTGTCTAAATCGGTCATTTGGTATTTTATTACTAGCTGGAGGCAGCGTTTCCCTTGGATTTTCCACAAAGTTCAATTTCTACGCACAAAATAAATATTAATGATTAGTAATTAGGTTAATTGGTTGCATTGATTTTATTTGAATGTCAACAACACTTGGAATTGAACACAAAAAGAAATTAATTCGCTTACATATTGTTCCACAAATTTGTCAACACTGCCATCAACAACAAACTGTTCCCATTTACAATCGGATCGTTTCCACAGATCACGTACATATTGTGACCCATATTCGTATGCCAAGAATGGTAATAAGCATCCCAAAATCTTTGCCCTCGATTCTTCGACCGTGTTTTTCAAGTCATTCAATGTGATGAGGTTGTTGAAAAATGCCGTAGCTGCAAAACGAAAGGGAAATGATTTATAACATTAGACAATGGTTTAGATCGAATTTAAGAAGTGTGTGTGTGTGTGTGTGTGTGTGTGTGTGTGTGTGTGTGTGTGTGCATAGTAATCACTTACATATCATTTGAGCAGTCCATTCGTAGATTTTCGGCACATCGATCACAATATCGGCTAACATTGTAATATATTCGCTTAAGCCTTTTACATAATCTTGCTTCGTAATTTGGTTATTTTTCAGCCAATAGGTACAAATGGTGCCGATAAAGCAGCGCTTCTCCTCTGTCAAACCGGATATATCCACGGCGCTGTTGTGTAGATCGCGTACGAGCGCCCATCGATCAATTCGATTAATTTTATCTAATTGTGGTGCTTCGTCTAATTGGCTATAGTCGCAGATTTGATTCTTTTGAACTTTAGTTAGCAGATTTTTTAGCGTTGATTGGATCACTTTTTCGGTTTGTTCGCTAATTTTATCGGATAATTTCGGATCTGACGATGACGGCGTTAGTGACGAAGACGACGGTAAATTGCTTGTTGATAACGATGTTGTCGATGACGATAACGATTGATGGTTCAACTGGAAAGAGAAAGTTTTCTTTGAATGTTAATAAAATAGGTCACATTTTATGATTTTTTTTTTTCAAGAAAAGAATTCGTTTCTGAATGGAAATTCATTTCATGACTTTTTTTTCATTTAATCTTCTTTTGTTTCACATAATTTGTTATCTTCCATTTATGCGAAATAAAAAAAAACCCAAAAATAGAAACGCAAAAAATGCACTCACTTTATTATCACTACGAATACCCCTTTGCGATGACGACGATGACGAAGTTGAATTCGATGGCAATGTGTTGTATTGCATCTGTGGTGGACGCATTTGTTGTAAGCTACGTGAGGAATAGGAGGAATTTCTAGCTGCTGAGTTATCACGTGAACCATGCTGTGAACCGCTTCTCGAGTGTGGGCCATCTGACAAAATTCGAATGTAATACATTTAATTGACTGTCACTCTGTTTGAAATATGTTTGTTTGCTTTAAAATTAAATGCAATGGAAATCGGTATATATACCTCGTTCACGTTCCATTGATCCCTTCGAATGGTATGGCTCTTTTGAACGGTTACCGGATAATGGTTTGTAGGTATCGGATTCAAGCGCTGAAAAACTATTTGTAAGGCTGGTCGTTGCCTGTGGTTGTGTATTGAATTTCCATTGGAATTGCTTTGGTGTGCCCAATGCAGTGTTTTTAATATCTTCTATGTTCTGTAAATGTCAAGCATTGAGAGAGAGAGATAAGTATAAATGACCCAAATTAGATTTACACTCTCTATCGAGGAACGTGAAATGATACGACAGTTTTACTTACAGATGTTGCCCTGAATTTCGATGGATCAAATTGTTGACTGCTATTGTTGCCACCACGTTTGTTGCCACCCGTTTGAATCCATCCGTCATTATCTTGGAAATTGCCACCTCGACCAAGCTTGTTGCTATTATTGTATCCACTGCCTGACATGCTGCCACCACGTGGCATGCTGCCGCGATCATTGCGCTCACGGTTATCTTTTCTCATATTACTATTACCCATTCCACCAGAGTTTGGCATATTGGCAAGTATTTGGATTTGCGTTTTGTAGTGCTCATCTGCGAAGAAAAAAAAAGGAATAAATTCACATGTTTTTTCAAACATTAGCAAAGTCGATTTTTCCGCTTGGACAAAGAATACAACATTTCTTCATGATAAACAAATTTCTTGATAAAAAAAAACAAGTTGCGAACACCATCGAAAATTAAGGTGAAATACGTGAAAAGTCTTTCCGCGGAACGAGAAAAATAAGGAAAAAATGAACTTACCCATAACTTCCTTTTGGATTTGACCCATTTTCTTTGGATTCGAGTCAGAACGACGTGGCACCCATTTATTTTTTCGCAATTCAATGACATCCATTAACATGAAGCGTACTCTGCTGCTGATTTTCGATTGTTTCTTATCCGATGCAATTTGTTGCATAGTGTGGAAGTGTGGCGTCAGATCTCGATAGTATTTTTTGTCATATTCTTCGTCGCCTGTTTTATGCTCCATTTTTTGGCCGACGGTTGTCAGCAATTTACACAAGCATTCGAGTTTCTCTTCGGTACGAATGTTCAGCAAAACCATCACACACCATTCCATGATGCTGGTGAGCAACATATTTTGTCGATACAATTCACCAATGAACCGGACCGTGCCAACGGAACGGCGACGCAATTTACGCTCTTCCTCTTCCAATTGCATGGTCAATTCGAACTTACGATTTTGATCGTTTGTTTCGTTGAGTTCGATGTGCATTGGCTGGAGCTTTTCACGTATCGCATTCTCATTGGCCACATGCGTATTGAATTCGGTTTGACATTTGTTCAGCAATTCCTTTTTGAACACAGCCGTTTTCGTGTCTTTATTGCTTTTTTCGTCCAATCTCCGTTCATTCTCTTCCTTTTCTTCCATTGGTTTGGACAATTTTTGGCACAACTGTGCGTATGCCTGTGAAAAGTTTGGCTCATCGATCGCTTTTTCGAACACCAGCGAAATGACAGCCGACAATTTTTCGTTGTTATCAATGTTAAGCGCTTGCAATTGGTCCAACAGTGGTTCGAATTTTTCCGGTGTCAATTTATTCAAAATACCGCGCACACGTTTGCACAGTGCATCAATGTTGTTTGGATCGGTTGGGCCAACCTCTTTAGCGCCCAAAAATGTTGGCTTCCATGCATTGGCCGATTCATTTAGCTTAACATCTTCGCGCAGTGACAAACTCACGTGAATCATACCCGATTTGCTGCCTTTGCCGCCACCTTGTGACATTTGCTGATTGCCACCAGCTCCGCCTTGCGTTGACGGCCGTTTGCCATATTGATTGCGATTATTTGATGAAGACGATTGATTTTTGTTGTTGTTATTGTTAACATTCGATGGGGGATTCTTGCGAATGAGTGAGAAATTATCCTGGATTTGTGGTAATGACTGCGATGCATCGGCTTCACGCAATAGCATAATTTGGTTGCGATTGTAGCACTTTTTACCGTCGGTATTTTCGGGTGACCATTGACCCTCTTCGTAGTTCAACACCAATTTCGTTTGCTTCGACACCGCCACTTGTTGTTGTTGTTGGGCGGCGATGGCGGTGGCGGCTGGTTGCTGTGGCGCTTGTTGTGTTGGTTGTTCTTGTGGTGCTGGCGTTTCGGTCGTTGTCGTCTCCGTTGCACTGTTCACGACGTTATTATCGGAATCTTTGTCAACGGCATTGTTATTCAATTGGTTATTATTGTTTGCGCTAGATGTATTGGTTAAATTATTGTTTATTATCGTTTCGACTAAGCCGTCATTATTGGTAGCTGGGGCTGTCCCGGTTGTATCCAATTTCTCGGAAGCTCTCAAATCGTTCTCTGAACTTCTAAGATCAGTCTGCGATTCTAGGTTAGGCGTTGCAATACGTACTTGTGGGCCTGGTGCGGACACTGGCGTTTGCTGCTGTTGCTGTTGCGGTTGTTGTTGTTCAACCGCCGCACTTATTTCCGTTGGCTTCGTGAGCTCAACATTACGTGCGGGCGCGTTATCAGCTTTTGCGGCGGCGACCGCCTTTTGACTATTGTTATTGAATTCCACTGATTTAGCATCTAATTTATCATTCTTTTCTGCGTTCGTTTCTTTATTACTTATGGACATCGAATCGAGGGGTTTGATTAATTTATCAGTCTCATCAATTGATGTATTGGTCGTGGTGGTGGTGGTGGTGGTAGTGGTAGTGTTGGTGGTGGTCTTTGTTTTTGTTGAATCCACTTCGGTTACTTCCATTGGTACGCTAACGTTGCTGCTACTGCTGCTATTGTTCATGGTGCTGTCGGTGGCCTTTTCCTTATTGCTGCACAGCGCAATACATACAGAGATAGGGAGAAAAGTGAAAAACACATAATATAACATTTGTTTTCTTTTTCAATTTGATATGAACCACTTTATGGATTGGTTTAAAATCCATTTCAAAATGAAGTGTGTTCATGCGATGAGTGCATGCTCCAACTTCATTTACCGTTAAGTATGCTTAATGCTAGTATTGGCGGCCAAGAATTATTTCCAAGAAGAATCTTACCCTTTCGTTACACTTTCCTCCGAATGCACTTTATCGGCCGGTTGTGGCTGTTGCAGTTGCTTTGTTTTTTCTACTTTGTCCACTTTCGTCTGTTCTTGTTGTTGCTGCTGCTGTTGTTGTTGTTGTTGTTGTGGTTGTGGTTGTGGTTGTTGTACGGCTACCGGTACAACTGGTTTAGATTCCGTTTGTGGTTGTTCTTTAGCTGGCGCTGGCTGTTGCACATTGGCCACCATATTCGTTGGCGGATCTGTTTGTGGAGCAGCTACAGATTTGCCTTTATTCGACTGCTGGGCGACGTTGTGGTTGGGCGCCGAATGCTTAGATTTCGGATTATGCTTTTGTTGCGAATCTACACAGATTTTGGAGGAGAAACAAAGAAAAATGGGTAAATTGATTAAAAATGCATTTTTTTTTAAAATTTGAAACGATTCATTGGGTGATTACGTGTGAACGGTGACAAATGAAAAAGAGTCGACACACACGCACACACACGTATGTATATGCAATTCGGGTTAAATTGCATACAAGTGGCAAATTTCATATTCGACGATTCGATTGCAATTCCATCGATGAAGTAAGAATTGATTGCAAATGCAAACGGAGACGAATGCAACGAATAGAGCGATAAAAGGTGTGTTCGACTGTAAATGGAAGCAGTTTTCTCTCACTTTGCCGATTGGCATTAAAGCATCCGGTCGAAAGTCAGCACAAATGACACAACCGAATATGGTGATGCAACCAATATTAGACGAAGATCGTTGTCAATAACAAAGAAAAAAAGCAACACGATACACGATGTGCATGTGTCGCTTGAATTGGACAAATGTTTCAGATTTCAAGTCGGATGGCTATTTCTCGTCGCACATGAGCGACATTTTACAACGATTGCACAAAAAATTGAAACAGCATTCACACAGAGGCAGAAAGAGAGTGAGAAGAATGGAAACTCACAGCACTAGAGAAAAAAAAATTATCAAAAAAATTGTCAAACGAAAGCTTCAAGTAATTGATTCAATATGGGTTTGCTCGATTCGTCAGTTGCAGTTGATCTGTTGGTCTCGGCTGCGACAATCGTCTCTCTCTCTCTGAGTGTGCGTTCTCACTCCCTCGCACTATCACTCTCTCTCTCTCTCTCTCTCTCTCTGCATTCAAACACCGACTATGGAACACAATTTAGCCACAATTTTATATAAAAATATACACATATCAAGCGTGTGACATATACATGCAGGACGGTGAAAAACTGTGATCAGATTCGGAGTAAGCGCTAAGCGCCGTATGTGTATTTTAAAATACACATATTTTTCTATGAGCACGAAACGATGCGATAGACGATAACCTTGTGCCAAATTGAAAGTAGTTTTTCTATGCTGTATCGAAGTGTTCAACTTTTCGCTCAAATGTTTTTGTTTCTTTTTTATTTTTAGTCACTTGTGTGTGATATTTTTTTTTTGTGTGCATTATTTTAGTCGTACGTCAGTTGAGTGCACAATTGTGCGTTTGACGAACAGCATTCGGTCATCGCAACTGAGCAAAGGCTATGCCACGCAAATTGGATTTGCAACAACCATGTTGAGAATTTAGTTTGATTTAAGCAATATCATGTGTGAACAAGAATTTGACACCTGGCTTGAATTGTCACCTCTTCTTGATATTCCTTTCGATATCAATACTCGGTGATAAAACAATGTCTAAAACATTCATTGAGCTTATATTCCAAGAAATGCTTTTTCATAAGAAATCAAGCATTAAAACTTATTCATAGGGAAAAAAACATTTCGACGAATTCATTCGTGTCTGGATTCGATGAAATTCTCAAGCAATCGACGAAAAAATAAAAATGAAACGATCGTAACCATTTTGGAAAGGTGGTTCGTTTTTTTCACTTCTTCTCGATTTTGTGTGTGTGTGCGGCCGCGCAAGGCGTTGCGCCGAATATAGAATCGAAAATGCTTCGTGTGCTTAATCATTTCATAATAATAATGAAGTGACGTATGATCGAATCGAGTCACCGCCAGCGCACTTCGATTAAATGGTGTTGCTGGTTTCGTGCGTGCGTAAGCGAGTGCGCGCTCACCCGCTCTTCCTATTCATTTTATAACTTTTCGCTTGTGGATTTTGCCATTGCTTTTACTTTTTCCGCTGGCGGTGTTTTTTTGTCTTAGCTTTTTTTGGCAACTCACATTCGGGCAGAGACAGAGCCAAAGACAAAGAGACAAAGAGAGGAAGATAGAGAGGTATTTACGTATGCGAGAGATATGATTCGTTTTATTCCGTTAAATCTTTGCAACATGCTACTATATACATATCATAAGGTTGTTCTTTGGGTACGGGGCGTGAATGTATTCTGTAATATAGACTACAACACAGACAAGAAAACCGACTACGTACATCTTTTTCGTGTATGCATGGTGGTGCTTGCAAATGCGATTATTTGACTAGCGTTTATATGTAGAAACGAAAAAAAAAATGTGAAGTAAAACAGAAAGCACTAGCACTTTCTTTACTGTCCGACGTTTTAATTCGTTTTTCTTTCTCTTTGATTTGAGTGAATGAACAATTTTTTTTTCTTGTGGTTTTTTTAAATCAGGCACACTATTCCTGTTCCTTTGTTAGAAAGACTGAAATACACACAGACACACGCACGTTTTTCACATCGTCTTCTTGTTCTTCGCGTTTCTATCGTCTTTTTTTTCTGCTTTTGCTGTTCACTGAATGTTGCACCCGATGTTCGATGATGAGAATGACCAAAAGAATGATTTACTTTTTATGGCAAAGCGTGTGTCACACACAGCAATAAAATGAGAGCGAGAAAAAAAAACAGAAATAAGAATGGTTTATCAACGTCTTGTTGTTTGCTCTAGAACGTGTAACCAATTTCCGTTGTGTGATTTATTTTCATTTGCGTGTTGCTTGTTTTATTCCAAGACTTTTTTTTGTTTCTCTCTCTTGCTCTCTATGTGGATGATATTTTCGGTCCAACGATCGCCGTTTATCGCTCATTATTATTTTGTCTTTTCTGTGCAGTTAAGGCGCGTATCGCGAATGAGCGAGCAAGAGAATTCATTGGCACTGTCATCTGAACAGCGACGACGACGTCGGTGTCGGTGTCGACGGCGGCGGCAGCAGCAGTCGAGTGCTAATAAAATACGGTCATAGCTGTTAAGTATGCATGCACTGATACACACAGACCCTTTCACTCGCCGCATTTACTTTGCGATTTGGACTGGCCTGAGAGCGAGATAGATAGAATTCACTCATTCATTTCACGTTCTTTTTCTCTTCTCTCGGATCAATTTTATTTTTCTTCCTTGACTTCGTTCTTTGTCTTGAGCCGATTAAACGATCTTTTGCACATTACACATCATCACTTATTCTGTGGGAAACAGAATATAAGCAGCCGAAATTATTTTGAAAAAAAAACGACAAAAAATAGAATTTGTCACAACACGTCTTGCGATTTTTTTTCTCCATCAAATCATTTGATCATCAGCTCATTTGCATACACAGTAGCTTGAGACCCACCTCTTTTTTTTATTACAAATAACAACAAGAGAAAAAATGGCAAAATGTGGTCGTCACTGAATACAAAAAAAAAACGTTTCTCTTTTTATTTCTTTCAACTATTCAAAAGTCGTTCTTTCTCTTTCGTCACACAATTGCAACACGTTTCACGAATTTAATATAAAATCAAATGTCTTATATATTTATTCGACCGTGTCTTTGTGTCAAATCTTACAATTTAAAATAAATATAAAGTCGAGATCACCACACACAAGAACAAAAAAAAACTCTCTATCGCACTTGCAATTAATATATGGTGTTAATTAAATCACAATTTTTATATTTAAAAAAAAAAAACAGATAAAATCAATAATATAAAAAAAGTATTATGTATAAAAAAAACAGATCGTCTGTTCGAAGCGGTCACAGTGCAGTACACCGCAGGCACTAAAAATTTCCGAGAAAAATGAAAATATTGGGTGAAATATTTTCGCGCGGGTAGTACGGCCACCATGTGGCTTTGCACTAAATAATTCTTTTTTTCATATTTCGCATGTCTCCTCTTCTTCTTCTTCTTCTTCTTTCTTTTTCCGACGGTTCGGCTCTTTTCTTCCACACACTCAATATGTCGTCGATGTCGGCCGACTCACACATGTGTTGAGGTGTGCACACACAAACGCACGCCCGAATTTCACGTTTTTTCTCGGTGTGCTTGAGCACACGCATACATCGCCGTTGTAGAAATAGTAGTCGCACATTGCTTCATACACTGCCTAAAAATGGATGTGTCAAACACACATACACACGCACGCACGCACTCAAATATACTGGCAAACAAATACACGATGTGCACACGATGTGAATTTATCACGAATTGTGCCGTGTGTGCTTGCAAAATATTTGACTCAGATATTTGCACTAATCCTATAAAATCGATTTGCAGTCCAAAAATGTATGTGCATGTCATACAATTTTTTAAAAAAAATCATACAGATGATACGAATGTGTGTTAATGCAATTGCGGCACGGTGTGTGAATTTGTGTGAGTGTCGAAATGACGACGATGACGACGACGGCGAAGATGTCGATGAAATCTCGGCTTGTGTGTGCACACGCTGTCGTCTCTGTCTATGCTTGACAACGACTCGAAAAAAATATGTATCTATGATGTTCGGTTTACATTCGATTGATCAAAATCGGTCACACACCGAACAATTTTTCTTTAAAAAAATTTCGATCAATTTCGATTCATTATTATTCAAACAATGGTTATTCTTGTCGATATTTTCAATCCGAATTGCACCATTTGCAAATGGAATTCGTTCAATAACGAGTTTCGTTCTTTCCTTCTATTTTCATTCCAATGTGTTTGATATATTTGTGTGGTGATGTATCACAATGAAGATCCTTTCTGTGTGTAAATTTTTTTCTGCCGTACTCCACGATGTTTGCCTTTTTCTATGTTCTTTATTTGGATTGCACACAGAAAATGAGCGGATTGAGTAGCATCGCTTGGAATGCTATCAATTTTTTTTTTCTAATTTCCATTCCGCTAAATTTTATTCTTAATTTCTCCGGTGGCGAAAGAGAAACGAAATACTTCGGAATTAAGTTAAGTCCATGGAATTGATCGAATCCTCGAGCCGAAAAGTGACAGTACAGTCACACACACAAACACATACACGTGCAATCGAACGAATGAGCTATGATGGTATTCGCATTGCACCTATACACCGGCATTCCGGAACTATAACCAAGACTTGTTGACATATCACATCGATTAGCAACAAGAATGAAACCGATAAAAATGAACTGATTATTTAGTAGTTGACAGAGAGCGCGCGCTTAGCAGCAATATAAAATGCGAAATCATTTTGCTGTAGCAAAGCTTATTTGAATAAAGTGTTACAAATGCCAGAGAGAAGAGAAGGCGAAAAAAAAGAAATAGATTCGCAGGTTCTCTCGTGGTATGTGCTGTTTTATATTTCACTTTGTTTTAAAATTCATTCTCTTCGTTCACCTTGTTTTTTTTTTCTTTGCCTCTGACTTCATGTTTGTGGACGGGCACTTCAGTCGACAACTTTTTTTACTTGTCGGCAAATTCGGCACGTGTATGTGTGTATCGTGGAATAATGTGTATGTACACAAACACAACAGTATGATCATGATTTCAGCCACCCAAATAGTTGCCCAATTCCAGTTGTCACAATTTATTTAAACTATGGCTAACATTTATTGTTTATCTTGTTGCCAATTTCGTGCGTTCGAATGACCAGATGTGAGACAAACAGCTCACGCTCAATGATGACGACGATGATGACTCTGACGCATATTCCTATTGAACTCACACACAAACACTTTTTCCCTTCGGTTCTTTTTGTTCTAATTTTCTTCTCCTCTATTCATAATTAATATGACTGCGTCATTACAGATATGTGTTTCGTATTTTGGAATTAATGGATGCGCATTTGGTTCTCGTAATCAAATAACTGTGTTAATATTTATCAATAATAATTACCGAATGCGACTTTGGATTTTGTATGATGCACACAAGAAAAAACAACAACAATTTTTCAATTGGAAAATGCGGCAATTGGATCGAAATCCAATTGAACATATATACACATTGAGTGTGAAGCTTACCTTTGTGTTCACTTTCATTGGACACCTTTGGTGCGGCCTGGTTATTTTTCACCCATTCATTGCTACTGGAACTTGTGGTACTGCCTAACGATGCTACTTTTGAGTAATTATCACACGTAGAGCTATCTGTATTTGTTTTTTCGGCTGATGGCGTCGGCCATTCAGATGACTTGTTACTATTTATGGATTAGATTGAGAAAAAGAAATAGATAAATATTCATTCAATTAAACAAATAAATGGATACAATTGTTCTTTTATTTTTGTTCGTTAAAAGCACTAAGTATATTTTGATGTTCGAATAACCGCTATTGTCTCAAAGAGTAACGACTTTTTTTCCTTCAGAAATCGATCGATTGTTCGAATGAATCGCTCAATTTTGGGCCAACAAATCACCCCAAACAAAATCAATCGTTTTGCTCAACAAATCAAAGTGTTTGCTGAAAAATTGACCTCTTTGTTTAACAAATCGAAGTCTTCTTGTTCAATCAATCGATTTCTTTGTTCCAAAATCGCTTTCGACTCTTTCTTTCCCGTTTCGTTAACATATATGTGAAACTTTCCAAATGTCATTTTATATAAGAATTTTATTGAGAAAAAAAAACAAACAATGTTGAAAAAGAGAAAATGAAAACTTACGTTCGTTTGACATTTTTCGACTGTTTTGGCATTATATCAACCGACGGAACGTCAGCAATGGCTGAAACAACTGGTGTATGCGGCGGTTCTTCTGTACTACTCGCCTCCATCGGAACCTCAACATTCGAATGTTCACTTGTTGATTGTTCCGGTTCATTTGATGTATCACATGACGGTTCATTTGACGATTTCTGCAAAAATCAAGCGGCAACAACATGATATCAAACATAGGTTTGAATATTTTCCACATTTTAGTGGAGAACGCATTGTTGTTGAACTCATCCTCTTCATGTTTCTTCTTTTTAATTTACAAAGAAATAGAAGACCACGCGCCGAATCATTGACGAGAATGTAAAATCTCACCTGGTTTTGTTGTTGTGATTGATTCGGGCCTTGTGAAGAAGGCGGTGCTTCGATTTTTAATGCTGCCGAACCGGAGCTATTCTGTGTGGAAGGTCTATCTATAATTACTTCTTCCTTTGTATCCGGATTAACGATTTGTAAACGTTTTGAAAATTTCTTCGCTGGAGGAGCTTCATTCGTCTGACGAGATAAAGAAACATTCTATTTAGAACGCATTAGATTGGAAAAAAAGAAAAATGGTTTGGTTGTTGTTAATGAAAAACACATATTAATATTATTATTTGTTGTTGGTTAAAGTTGTTTTGTGCAAAACGATCAATTTGAATTTGATTTAATGGATTAGGTTCTGTGTTGAACTGAAATTTTTGCGATTTTCTTGCGTGTGAGTGTATGAATGAGGTCAAGTTCAAATTGATTGATTCTAATAATGAATGTTATGGTTAAAGCAATTTGTGTGGTGACTAACAGGTTTTACCTGATGCGGACGCGCCATTGATGGTACATATTGGGTACTCCCCAATACTCCCGGCATATGAAGCGCTTGACTTAATTGATGTGGAGCTTGTTGATGTGATATATTTTGTGAACTCGCTGCCCCACTAACACCTGCATCTGGAAAATGAATGCGTGCATTTGTGGATTAGTAAATGAATTTGATATATAGAGCAAGAAATTTGCATAAGTGACTAGAACAATCCAAATCGTATGCCATCAAAGATATTCGAGACGAATTCTCTTTGTATTCTCTCTCTCTGAGCGCCTACTTTGATGTGTGGACCAAAAATAAGAAAACGATGTGGACAGTTCAGCCAAACGAACAATATTCACTTACTTATCGAAGGTAAGTGTTGTTGAGTTGCGGCACCAGTTCTTGGTGGCATCTGTTGCATTGATGGCACGAAATATTGATGCCCTGGATAAAATCCAGTCGTTTGAACGCTCTGTAATGAGAAATAAAACCAAATGTTCATTATAATCTTGATAATTATCAACGTATTCGCTTTAATTCTGTTCGACTGAATCGAAATCGGATGGCCATTGTGCGCTACATACCGCGTGTTTGTTCTGGTAAAAATATTGATTACTAGCATATTGCAAAGGAACTGAATGTAGGTACACCATCCCTGTTGAGGGAGCTACACCAGGTTGATGTGTTTGAGCCATTGCCTGGTTTTGTTGCTGCTGACGATTAACAACCATGTTGTTTATCCGCGTTGAGGGCGCTCCTGACATACGTTGTCCTTGACCACGTGCCATCTCTTCCGGGTGAAACGGAAAAAATAAAACACAACAATTAGATTCATCTTCATTAGGAACATTTTTTGGGCGGGCGAGAGTGCAATATATTCATTACAAAAATTCAGTACAATATCTTCGATTTGTTGCAATATAATCGGATGTGTAATCGATATTTGCAAATCATGGTATCAATCGCAGAATTAAAAAAATACGACGGAATAAATGCATTTATACGTACGATATGGATGGTTCGAATGGTACTGTGGCGGTGTGGGTTGTTGTTGCTGCATTTTGTGATCTTGAGACTGTTGCGATGTTTGCTGTGTTTGTTGCTGTTGCTGAAACAAATCAATCGAATCATTATTTTCATTATTATCGTTAACGGATTCCGTTTCGTCCATTGTTCGTCGCTTTTTTCGCTTCCAATCCAAAAATTCGTATATACAATCGAACAAATGCGCCGCTATTATCATTAAATTTTGCAGAAATCTACTGCTGAAATCCAATGAATTAAAATAATCCAGCTCTAGACTTGGGTGCACAATACGGAGATTATTGTTCCGTGAATTTATCGAGAGCGGTTTACTGAATTCCAGGAACAGAAAATCTGTTGGACAATTCTGGGAACTTTTTTCTGATTGAGAATTTTTCCACAACAATATAACCACCGTATTTCTTTGTAACTAACGAATTTTCACGGTTCATTGGGTACACAGTACTCTTTTTGCAGACGCTTTTATTTGTTCTTTTTTCTTTTCTTTGATTTTGAGGTTATGTTCAACTCGTGGTCGAAAAGAGCAGCCTACTTTTTTACTAAATGATATTTGGTGTAAATTTTCTCTCCCCGTACTACAGCAAAAATGAATCGCTGTGTCGATCAGTGACACTTTTAGTACTAAGTTTGTTCTTTTTTTGCGGTCTGTGTTTTTTTCCTCTCTCATTATATGACAATCACTTGACATTTGCACACAACATATGCTACGGAAAACCCGATTAAAAAAACAACAACGAATATTCATTGGAAACGAATAACAAATACACCGAAATCGGCATTTCGATTAGCTCAAATGTTTTTATTTTGATGAGATTCAATATTTGGCTGCCCTTGGAGAAATGTTTTTTTCATTGTCTATTCCGACACCGAATAAAATACAACAAACATAAATTAAAAATAAAACATAACCTTGTGTTTTGGAAGTTCATTACTTTATCTGATTCAAATCAGCAAGTGAATGTACAGAAAGCTGTAAAGTGTCATACATTTAGTGTTTCGGAACGTTTTTTTTCTCTCTCTCTCTTTCTCTCTCTACTGTTGCTGTATCTGTTTTTTTTTTGCTTTGAAATGCAATCGATTTGAACAGTTGGTCTCAGGAATTAATGTCTATCACAGAGAGCAAGGAGAATAAATCTCAGTCTCAGCCAAGCAAACGTTGTGTGCTTGACAACCTTAATGTTCGATTTGATATTATGTCGGATTGAATGGATTTAGACGACACTCAAGTGAACAATTTTGTGCTTCATTTCGATAAAGATTCGAATCGATTTTTTTTCGAGTCTAGCTCAACTTTCATTCAGAATCTTATCATGTTGCGTACAGTTGGTCATGGGGTTGGATTGACCGGGCTGGATGCTTACCCCTATTTGACAAACAGATTGTCGATCCGAAGTTTGATGTGCAGTGGGTGGTTGCGGTGGCACGCTTTGTGAATAGTTCACACTTGGCTGCGTCACATGATAGTTACTATCTGAAATTTTACAAGCAAATATTCGAATTAGCAATGCGGCCGCAATGGACGTTTTTAGTAAAAATGCAAATTTTCGTATTCTCTGGCAGAATTCGGAGTTTCATGCTAGATTATGAAGCATAATCCATGAATTCAACCAAAAAATTTGACATTTAAAATAGCAAAATCTACGAATAACTTCATTAAGCTTGGAAATTGTCGAAAAATCGTACAATTTGCCACAGAAAAACTCCTAATTCTAAGCTAAGAGTACTTAAATTTAACTAAAGAAAGTTCGTGATTTACATCCAAAAGTCTTAAAGCAACGAAAAAAGATGCTTAAAACTAACTAACAAAAACAAATGACTCTTAATAGTAACAAACTCTTAAAAGTACAACTTAAAGATAAAGAAAAAAACAAAAAATCCCCGTGTGAAAGATCAAAATGTTGGACATTCAAATCAATAACAACAATAAAAAAAACAGTCAAACTACGAGTTGACATCGACTGAAGAACAAGTTCGATGTTCAGGCGAAAACAACATAAAACCAAACGAGATAAACGAAAAAAACAAAATCACAGAGTAGTCAAGTAGAGTTGTGATGACATTACTTACTGGCATGAGGCATACGAAAACTATTATGAGATATTGTAACACCACCATGATGTGATCCTTGCGGAACTTGTATCGCAAAATCCGTACTAACTAATTTATTTTTCTGCTGCTGTTGCAACTAAAAGAGAGAAAGATGATTTGTAGATATGTTGAACGAGTCATCAAACGACAAAGTGTGTGTGTGAAGAATCGGCAAAGAGTCAGTGTCGGTGGGTGCTGAATGAGTAAAGAGCACACCGTGCGCGCGCGACACACACACACACAACAAAAATCCGTTTGTCGATGGATCTGCATTGGATCTGATGAACTAACCTGTTGTTGTTGCTGTTGCTGTGACGAAACGGTAGTTAGTGCAATTTGGGGTTGGTTTTGTGGCTCATATTTATTCGAATTCGTTTGCTAAATGGCGCGATGAAAGAAAAGAAGAGAAGACAAGAACATTGATGGATGTGACACATGAGAAATGTGTGTGACTCACAGAAGAACAAACGTAGAAATTTGTCTTTTATACACGACGAGATAGTAGAAATATCTCTCGTATTGTATGTGAGTGTGAGTGAGAAAGATTGAGGAAATTAATGCGACTTACTGGTGGCGCTTTTTCGTATTTATTTGTGTTTGCTGTTTGTCGATTGATAACATTTGAACTATTTGCACCGGCATGCGGGGGATGTGTGTTCGGCGGCACGCCGTAATTCGTATGTGAATATCTTGACATTTCGGTAATCAACAAGACTTCAAAACTAAATAACTAAAACGACGTTGTTCTTCTTGTTGTATATATATATATATAGATGTGTGTGTGTGTGTTTTTATTCCCGCTTTTAGTTCAAGTCGGGATAAAAGATGCTCTTCAATATGCTTGATTGATTTGCTTCACTTGTTCTTCGTTTTTGCGAAATTGGTTTGCGATTTTCCGATCGATTTCAATTTGTTTTCACTACATATTATCTATGTTCTTATTTACCGGCTAATTTGTAAATGTTTTTTTTTCTCTCTTTTTTTGTTGCTCCTCTCTAAAACACTATTTTTTCATTCGTTATTTATTTCGCACTTGAATTTTCAGCATTTTTCTCTATTTTTTTTTTCAACTGGACACTTTCGTTTATTTTAAATTACTTTCAATTTTTTGTTGTTACTTCTTTATTTGGTATATATATTATATATGTCGCGTTTGTGTCGTATTTTTTCTTCCGAAATTAACAAATTCGAATGTGTTATTGTTCGTCGAACCCAAAAATGAGCAGAAAAAAAGAGAGTAGTAATGAAGAGTGAGCGAGAGATAAAAAAATAAAATAAAAGAGAACAGGTAAAAACAATTGGTCACAAAGGGGAAAGTTCGTAAACTCCACACACACAATGTAAAACAAATGTGCGAGTGTGTGTGAATGTGTGTTGTTTTGCTTTATCTTCTTTTAATTTGTGTGTGTTTGTTTTTGCTATGGTTTTCTTATCGTAACGAGAGTGAGAAAACGAACGACCGAACGAAAATACGATTCTTCTTTCGACGAAACACAATTTTTTCCCGACTGGATTTTTTTTTTTGCTTATCAGTCAAAACTGCACTTCTTCTTTCTTGTCGGTTTTCTGATGTTTCTTTTTTCGTTATGTTCAAGTTCAAATTATACACACTGGAATTGTTGACGGTTCGACGCTTGCGCGAATGGTGGTGTTACTTGTTGAACGGTCGAACTCTTAATGCGTCCGAAAATGCCATTAGGATGTGTTTTAGATTTGTCTTTGTCGAGCTAATCCGATAATGTTCACGTGTCGGCTAGTATTGGTGTCGCTCGTGCTTCGTCTGTTCATTGTCTGATGAGCTGCCGGGTTTTTTTTCTTCTCTGCTTCTTCTTTTTTTCGGGTTGTGTGTTGTTGATCGGTCGTTTACTTTTCGTTTCTTGTTTGCTGGTTTTTATGCTTGTCTCCTGTTGGAAATGTGTGTCAACAACGAAGACGACTCGATTTGAACCGTGATGAAAGAGAGCGATAGAAAGAGAAAGAAAATTTCGATAACGAGACAATTCTCGCTTTGGATTCTCTATCGGCAAATTTGGAACCGCTTCTCGCTAAATGGCTTTCGGATTCGCAGTCATGGAACAAAGTCGAATATGTGTGTTTGTGTGAAAAAAATTCAAAATATTTGAATATGTTAACACTGATGATCCTCTGTATGTCCTTAGGTTATAATTTAATGTATAATCGATTTGTTTATTTAAATAGCACCGTTTTGATTACTGTTTATCTCGTCTGCAACCGATTCGAATTGATCAATTCACTTCTCTTTTTTTTCTGTTTAACGTTGCACTACTCGCTTCCTTTTCGAAGGCTTTACCCAATTTTTTTCTTTCTAGTTAGCACTTAGAACTTGATGCCTTCTTGTGTCGTTACGTATTTAATTATTGTTGTTGTTCTTTTTTCTCTCTTTTGTTTCAATCAATCAGCTCTTATTAAATAATCGTAATATTATTATTCTGTATGTTTGAAATTTTCTTGTTTTTTTCCTTTACATTTACTATGTTAAATACACAATGTTATGTGTGTTGTTGTTGTTGTTTTTTTGATGCGGTCTTATTATTTGGTTGATTTGGTTTACACTATGAATAAAAAAAAATGAGAATGGGAAGAGAAAAGAGAAAGATAGCAAAAAAATGCATTAGAAAAGAGAGAATTTTTCGGTTCGGGTTCAAGCCAAAAGTAAAGTAAAACAATGCAATAAAAATGAACACTCTCATTGGCTTTACTTTACTTTGCACTAAAAAAAAACACAATCAACTACATCAAAACAACAAAAAAAAAGTATTTTTCTGAAACAACAACAATAACAACGCGGCAACAAATGAAACTGTATTACACAATGAACATTGTGAATGGTTTGCCGGTTATTCGTCAATAGTTTCCGTGTGTTTGTGTGTGTGAAATGAATGACAGAATTCAGCAAATTTCCAATCAGTTTTGGAAGTGTTGACAGCTCGATCATCCGTTCACCATAGCCACTAGGTTGGAGTGGGTTTGTTTTTTTTTTATCTTTTTCTGTTGAATGTTTGACTGCACACTGCACAGCTATAGGTTCAGACGTGCATGTGTGTATGGATTTGCGCGGCTTTGAAAGTACGGTTTGGTTCGCTTGACAGTGCACTGATTCATAGTATCATGCAATCAGCTATGTAACGAATGATCGGAATCAACAAAACGCTTCGGTGAGTGTATGTGCTTAAGAGCGCAGTTGAAAACGTATGCGTGAGTGAGTGTGTGTGTATGTTTATGTTCGAGAAAGAGAGATAGAACTGGCGATAAAGGCCAGCCGCCATCAGGATGAGCAACAGAATATGCGAAATATTCGAAATCGCCGAATGAATAAAGAAAAAGAAACATATATACATACGATATGTATATCTAAACCGTAAGCACGGAATGGAGCAACAATTACAATGTAGCAGAGTTCTGCTTCGATGCACATTAAGAATCAGGTCTGTTCAATGAGTGTTCAATTGTGGCACGCAAAACGCATACCAGCCCCGTACATAAGGTAATAAAACACAACAAGAAGACCGACAGAGAGACGGAGAAAGAGTGAAGAAGAAGACAATCAAATAAACATGAAAGAAGATGAAATGATGTGGTGTTTTTGGTACATGCAAGTAACCGATCATTACTTAAAACCAAAGAGTGAGACATAATCATGAGATGCACTTTAAATCATCTCTTTTTTGACATGTTAACGCAGCTAGAACTGAAACTTTTTCAACTTTTAGTTGATCACCAGACATTTAATTAGCGAGAAAGAAACAATCTCCAATATCAACACACTCACTTTCCGTTATTCTAACTGCGTTTCACCGATTTGGCATTCAACTCTTTTCTTCCGATTCGGAAGCTGATTTCGAGAAATCGACACAGAATTTTGGATGAAGAGAGAAAGAAGAGCAGATAGGCGAGCAAATTTCAGGGCTTTCACAGAAGCAATTAATGTCAAATATATCAGCAACAAGTCGTCGTGGCAATTTGATGATGTGCCCATAGCAATTACTGATGATGACGGTAAATGGCCTGTGGCCGATTTTCGAATGTAATTAGCAAATATTGCTATATGCTTCGTTCTTTTCCATTTGCTCTGTCTCGCTCTTAATCATATCGAATGGCTGTAGCCGCAGCAGCAAACGGCGATGGTGGCGACCACAACAACGACAACGACGACGGCAATCTGAGTCAAGCACAGAAATACACTATCTATTCTGGCAAATTGGCCTGTAAATAGGGAAAGTAAAACCATAAAATGGTTTTAGCCAATCTGAACAATATCCAATATGTATTTACGCCCGTTATGTGCTGTGTTTGTTTGCCAATACACACACGTATCAACAAAAAGAAAGAAAGAAAGGAAAACAGCTGCAATTTTCAATGCCTAAAATTGAGATATATTGGTCCCTGTGTGTTTGTGTGGCTAGATTTTGCGACACATTCATTCTCGATCAGATCTCGAGGCTGTTGAGTTCCGTTTTCGAACAAAATGTATTGCATGCGTGTGAGTGTGTGAATGTTTTTTTTCTTCAATTTTATTTACAAAAGGAATTTCCTCGAAAACCCGAGACGTTACGTCTTAGCGAGACAAACGATATTACACGTATCTTTTTATTGTCGTCGCCTTTGTCTTCGTTGTCGTCGTCATTGTTGTTATTACTATTTGTGAAAACAGACGGATAGAAACGAGAGCGCAATTCGGCACAAATGAACGCTATCGAAGGGCAAACGACAAAGAGAGAGACAGAAAATTGCATACGAGACCATGTGGTACACGGCAGAGATGTGTGCGTGTTTTTTTATTCATCTCGCTTCTCAGTGTCTTCTTTTGTTTGGTTTCAAATTCAAAACTGACCAAATAGACGACAACGACGACGACAACGTTTCGAGCACACATGAACAACAAGGCATGAAAAAGAAATCGACGTAGAAAACTTGGCACATTACCGTTTAATGGTGCACTATACTGAATCATACAGACACAATGAGTTGCGAAAAATGACACGTACACAACGGAATTGATCGGCTGTGGCAATGGATAGCCGACAATATATACACACACACACACACACACACACACACACACACAAATGGCAAAATCAAAATTCATGAATATACAAAGGAATTTGTTGTTGTTGCTTTCGTTTCGGTTTTTTTTATATTCACGACGTTAGATAAAGACGTTCGTTTCGCTCATATTTTTCTTCTTCTTCTTTTTCTCGTCTGTCTTTCGAAAGGTTTGATCGAGAAACTGCGTTTCAAAAGGGAGATTGCATGCACACACGACACTGACAATGCAACGAAAAAAAATGCAATTTGGCCAAATTAGATTTGCACTCAACGAAATATCATACGAGTTGCGATTAGCGCACAACAAACGTCACACACACACACACACACATACACGAAAAAATCTTCGGTGACCATGGTTAATGTAAAGTTTTTTTTCTTCGTTCATATTCGCCAAGTAAACCAAGCCAACCAAGCAAGTGGAACGTCGCATGAGTTTGGAATTTGTCTTTTCATACGTTTGCTATCACTATGTGTGTTTTTTTTCTTCTTTCTTTCTTCGTTGCTTCTTCTTCTTTTTTATTTGCCATCAAAGTTTTATCGCCTTTATCGCTTGTGCACACTATAAAATGATGATGAATAAAAAAAAACAACAACTAAAACTCTTTCATTTTTTTCTCACATTGCGATAATGTACCTGCCATACCAATGTGCTGTACGGAATAAATACACACCATGCACCGTGCACATTGGAACACACCGTACGAAATGTCGCAGCAGAGCGAACGAGATAGAAAGGCGAACACATTGAAGCAACGAGAGGAAGAAAAAAACGAGTATTGTATGTAGTAGTGGCGGCAGCAGCAGCAGCAATGAGAGAAAAAAATGTGCCTTTTTTCATATTTCGGTTGATTGTGAAATTTGTCAATTACAACTCAGCCTTTTCCTTTCATTTTTTTTCGATTTTTTTTTTCTGCCGCTTGTGTCGTTTTGCTTTTTCGCCGCAAATCGACGCAACATGAACACACAGAAATGAAAAACTATTGAAAACGAGCAATTACCGAACAAAACTACGGAAATAGGAACCGAGCCTCTATTGTGGAAATATGAACAAATATAATTTGCCGTTGTTGTTGTTTCTTTTGGTTTCTTGCATTTCATTATAATATTACCAGCAGCAGATAATCAGGATTTTGATGTATATACATATAATAAAATTTCTTTTTTTTGTCGCAGTTTTGTTTCTCTCTTATTTTTTTTGTTTGTTTTTTCTGCTTCTTCGTGGTGATATTTCAGCAGTTTGTCGATATTTTTCCACTGGAATCGGTATGTGTATGTGTACATATCACTTCAATATCGTGTCAAATTTATTCACATTCGCCCTTCTAAACTCTTTTTTTTACTTCTTCTTTTCTTTTCGTTTATATTATTTTCTCTAACTCGTTTTGCTTTGCAATTCACGTTTTACACTTCATTCCTTCAGTCGAAATACTCTATGTTTTCTCTCCTATATCTCGTGTTTGTATGCAATAGGTTACAATAACTATAAATTAATCTAAAAAAAACGTTCTGTGTGTAACACACGATGTTGATTGAAAGAGAAACAAAAAAAAATTTCTTTTTTTCTTTTCAAATTTCGTTGAGTTTTTTTGAATATTCACTCGATGGCAATTGCATACAGTGTTTAGTTTATAATTTTAGTCTTTAGTTGCAATTGAACCGAAAATAATCAACAGAAAAACACAGAAAATTTTTTATACAAAAGAACTGTTTCGCTTTTTTAAGTGACTTCTTCAATAGCTTGATGCGTTCACGTCAAAATCAGCCATTTTGATTTAAAACATATTTCTCGTTTTTTTTGCCCATGTCTCTTTCTCTTGAATCGTGTTATGTCGTATCGTGTGCTAGTGAGGCATATACACACATACACAAGCACACATGCAGAGAGGGAAACGAAAGTGTATATGTGTAGTGGTTTGGTCGCATGTTTTCTCGTTCGTTTGCCGAGTGGCTAGAGAGATACACGTTCTCAATGTTGCGGTGTTGCACGTGTAGTGGTGTAAGTGCGACGGCTCACTTGCTGAACCAAGTTACGCACAGCGACCGACCATTTCTGTTCAACGGAGGAAAACATTGTCTTTTTTTCCTTTTTATGTGTATGTATCTTTTAATGGGTGGGGAACGAAGAGAATCTTTATGCATCTTGTTTTTATCATTTGCGTTATTTTTTCGAAAATGATTTCATGCCGATCAATTCAAATCGCTCAGTTTTCAAATGGAATAAGCACTGAAATTCCAACCAAGGCCTTTTGACACGTCTATTGTGCGCTGTTCCATATGCGGGGCGAGCTGGTGCATACAACGCACAGTCCAACATGAACGAAACGCACACTTCATCGAAATTTCATTCCATCGTAAGCCAGGCATACACACATGTACAGCGGAATCGGCTTAAATAGAGGTGTACGGTGATTGTCTCTCACGCATACACGCAGACGAAGAACTTATCATTCAGTATCCAGGCGGCGATAAATGGAATCACAGTTTGGCGGCGAATTTCAAACTCTATTTTAAATCAATGTAAAAACTGTGATCGCCGCAAATTTCGCTTCTGGAATCCGTAATCAAATGTTGTGTCCAGCAAAAGATGCAATCAGTAATGTAAACGAAAGAAAAAAAACACACAAATATTTACTGATAAACCAAGAGTATTCTTAGTGCGGCTATGAATCAGCGCATCGAAAGAATATGTCATTTTGGTGGGAAAGAGATAGAAGAGAAACGGAGTTTGACGTTGCGCCATGTTGCCGCATTCTTGGTATATTCATGTGTATATTATATATATATATATTCTCTCATTGTCATCGTCGCAGTCGTGGTCGTGGTCGTTGCGTGATTTGATCGAGTTGGATAGAGGCGACTGGTGAAATGTGTCAGAAACAGTATCTCTTATATGGCGTAAATGCAATAGATCGACTAGTATTTATGTAATATCGCGGTCAAGCATTGACTAAGCCCATGTGTGCATGTCTCAACAACACGTACACGTCTAATATACGATTTGCAGCAAGGCGATTAACAGTTTTCTCTCTGTGCTCATACACACAACACACTCATACATACAACACGTGTATGCAGCGCTGAATGTGTATGATTTCTGAATGAGTGAGTCCATTAATTGATCCAATATATATACATATTATATGGCTGAACGGTAAATTGCAATTTTTCAAACCGGACTCTCGGCTGGCTAAACTGGACAAGAGAACGGAATGACGGCGTAGAACATGCAGCAGTTAAATGGCATACACAAACTGCATCGACTTCCAACTAGACACACAAATAACGATCGAACGGCGGCAGCAGCAGCAGCAGCGGTAGAAAAAATGCGGTGATAATAGCGGCTTGTTGATTCAAGAGCTGGCCGATCGCGGGCTTTGATCAACATTTTCATTCCAGGCAACATACATTTTCTCTCTCTGTGTATGTTTGATATGTTATTTCTTCTTCTTTTTTTATTGTTTATTTATATAAGCGTAGAATCAATTACCATCACTCCCATCTGTGCATATTTTGAATATCATTCCAAAGATTCGATGGGAAATGATCCAATTTGAGTTTTTTTTTCGAACGATCGAAATAAACAAACATTCTTAACATGCTTATCTCTTTCGAAAAAGAGAAAGAGAGAATTTTTCAATTATTCTTAGCCGCAGTGACAGAGAAAAAGAGAGGGAGAGAGAGAGGACGACTGACAACATCAATTGTAAATGGAAGAATTTGTCTCATTGAGATAAGACAAACTGTGCTGGGTCGAATTTTTCAAGTTGAACTCATTGGAATGAGGGTCATTTGTAATTGTTGTCCATCAAGCATTTCGGATGGATCAGGTTGTTGTTTTTTCTTTCTTCATTTGCGATAGTATTTTATTACCGACTATTCAAAAAAAAAAAAATACAACGAAGAAAACCAAATCGCTGACTAGATCACGTAATTATTTGCCAATTTGAAATTGTGCTGGTTGTGTATATGTGTGTGAGTCTTTTTTTTCTGAGGCGGTTTGCGCACGAGGCGCACATAAAAATTCCATGGATGTGTGTTACGTTGACATTTTGTTGATTTTGAATTCCGCCGCCACCGCCACGACCATAGTCATCGAAATGAGTGCATCGCAGGCGAGTAAGTATGCGAGCGAACCTGGTAAAAATACCAAAACAGTTTTTCTTTCGTTGTCGCAATGAGAGATGCATAATAATCGGAGCAAATGATCGTATGTTTTTTGAGTGAGTGGCGGTGGCAATGAGTGAGTGTCGAGTCACACATTCATTCATTCATTCATAGATTTGGGCAGGCGAGCGAGAGAACGAGCGCGCGCGTTTGCTCATTTGCTCTCTCAAAAGATAGCGAGATATGTTCCCTAACCTCTCTCTCATACAGATTTCTTTGAGTTATGCAGCGTTGAACAACGAAAAACCAACAAAAAAAAAGTAGGAACAATGGAAATGTTTAGAAATAACTGAGAGTGTACAAATACACACGTTGCATGAGCGCGAGCGTTTTCTCGTTTGCTCATATGCCGACCACACTCAGTGTATGTGATCTATATCGTTCGAACTCGCGCGCAAATACATGAAAAAGAGAAGACAGAAGAAGAAGTGGGAATAAAAAAACAGCACACATACATTCAGCCATGTGAGTGTTAGAAGCAGCCGACCATGTGGCAAGAATACAATTGAATCAACGAAATATCAGCGCTTTCCATATTTGCTTTTAGCATTTCGGTATATGTATGTGTATAGATATTATTTTCGAAGGGAATTTATCATGAGTAAGCGCTCACGAGTACACTGTATGCATGTGTATATTTTTCAGAAGAAAAAAAAAGACCATACATACATCCATAATAGATATAGATATGCTATTTATTTATATGGCCATGTTGAATGAGTAGCGCAGATAGAAAGGAACAATGTACTGAACAAAGTGGAAAAAAATGTGCTGTGGCGATATTTGGTAACCTAAAAACATGAAAAATTCACTGCGATTTTTTTGTTGTTCATTCTCTTCTCTTTCTCGTTTCATTCAAACGCTGATCTGAAGGACGTATGTCGACGAGGCGCTTCTAGTCGGAGCTGATCGCGTTCCGTTAGGGCGTTGATACGCTTGTTGGAACTTTGGATTCTGTTGTTGTTATTGTTGTTGTTTTTGTTTATTCGACGTCGCTCTATCTCTCTGTCTCTCTCTCTCTCTCTCTCTCTATTGTGATTTTTAACAAAGTCATTGGTACGCAGTACAGAGGGAGAGATTGTACAGAACTTAATCAATACAAATAATAATAATAAACTTCATCAATATCATGAATGCCAAATTTGATCTTCCAGTGGGGGAATCTTAACGCTATGCACTTAAATTGTTATAGATCTTAAAGGCGGCAATTGCTTAATCATGTCAAAATGGAAGCAATTGCAACACTTAATTATTATACACAATATGTACACGATACATTGCGAATATATTGAATCTAAGTACAGAGTGAAGTAGCTATATGGATAGAACAAACGACAGAGACTTACCTGCATGTTGACACTGCGAATAAAGAATGTGTAATCGTTGTTGAAATATGAACTAGATTTCGTTGAAACGGCTTTTATTACGGTGATTATTGATTGTGGCCTTTCAATTTAGTCGTTGCCGTTATTGTATGTATATGTGTGTCTTCTGTCTCGAAATGGAATAATTGATCACTTCGCTTAAAATTCACACTCAATTTTTCTTCTTTTTCTTATTTTTATTTTCTTTTGATTGTATGAATTGAATTTTTTTTTCGATTCAAATGAAAATTTGGTTTTCTTTTATAACTTTTCAATACTCTGACAACGGAAATTTTCACTTGTGATTCGATATTATAACATGGAGTTCACCATTTCCAAGCTGCAAGGAAGAGAAAGCATTGTTCATAATTAATCTTCACCCATTCATTCAACAAGAAAAAAAAACGAAATATATTTATAAATATATAAAGGTAAAGAGCAGCAGAACAACGAACCAACGAACAGAAAAAAACAAAATATTCAATAGTTCAAGCTGTGTGTATCGCCGTTTCGTTTTGGCTTGCTGTTGTTTTGCAACACACTCTCTGTGATTGTATCGTATTTTCATCGCATTTTGTCAGTTAGATGGGTTTCTTGGTGGGTCTCTATTTTTTTCCTTTCTTCTTCTTCTTCTTCTTCTAAAGGTTACACTTTGCAATCGATTCGCTAGTTGCTGTTGATGTTGTTGTTGTTGCTGTTGTTTTCCTCCACCGATAACATATGATATGATTGCACAGCCACACACTGATCAATTCAAATTATGTTCAATTGTCTTTATAATTGCAACAACAACACAGACAAACACAGAAAAAAATGAGTATCGAACGAATCAACAAACGATTGAAATGCATTCGTGGATCACCGAGTTCATAACGAACGGAGAGCCATTTACTATATTTATGAACACACAAAAAAAGAAGAAGAAGAAGAAAAAAAACAAATCCAAGTTAATTTTACGTACTGTAATAATTACATTACATTCTTTCTGTTTATGTTTGGACGTTTTTTTCCCTCTTCTTCTTCTATTTTCATTCGTTTTGCGGGCACTTGGCTCATTTCATTGCATGATCGAACGTCGATCAAGCGAACCGTCTATGCATATATATATTGCAACAACTCTATGACAGCCTCACTCTCTCGGTGTCTATGTGTGAACACATGATGAAAAACTGGAGAGAAAAAATTAATGCGGAGGCTTGAAATCATTTTGATGAATTGTGCTGATGGGTGTACGGGCTCGATGGCTGCTGTTGTTATGTGTGTTCTGAGGGTGTAATTAATTCGAATTGATGC